TTGAATCACAGCAGTCCCCACAGTATATTTGCCCACTCCAAATTGATTCCCAACTGACCGGTAGCAGTCAGGCGTTGCAAGCTTCCACAGGGCTATCACCACTCACTTCTCAACTGTCCGGGCAGCTCTCATCTTGGTATTCCTGTGCTTCAGGGTGGGGAAAAGCAACTCACAGAATTCCAGGAAAGTGGCCTTACGCATGCGAAAGTTCCGCAGCCACTGGGAATCATCCCATACCCCTGCTACACTATGCGGTCCCACCAGTCTGTGCTTTTTTGCCAAGCCCAGAATCGGCATTCCACTGTATCGACCAGCCCCACTGCCGCCATGATGTCCCAATTGCCACAGCCCATGTTTTCAGGAATGTCTGTGTCCATGTCCTCCTCACAATCGTCCTTGTGCTGCCGTGGCTTAGTCAGGTTCTGCACATACTGCAGTATAATGCGCGAGGTATTTACAGTGCTCACAACAGCAGCAGTGAGCTGAGCGGGCTCCATGCTTGCCGTGCTATGTCATCTGCACAGGTAACCCAGGAAAAAAGGCGCGAAATGATTGTCTGCAGTTGTTTTCATGGAGGGAGGGGAGACTGACGACATGTACCCAAAACCACCCGCGACAATGTTTTTGCCCCATCAGGCATTGGGAGCTTAACCCAGAATTCCAGTGGGCAGCGGAAACTGCTGGAACTGTGGGATAGCTACCCACAGTGCACTGCTCCATGAGTCGATGCTAGCCACGGTAGTGAGGACGCACTCCACCGACTTAATGCGCTTAGTGGGGACATACACAATCGACTGTATAAAATCGATTTCTAAAAATCGACTTCTATAAAATTGACCTAATTTCAGAGTGTAGACATACTCTGAGTCTCCTCTCGGTTACACTGCTGCTGGTCAGGAGTAGTGCTGTTGAAGTCAATGTAGTTACACCGTGTAAAATTAGTTTGAGTGGAGAAATAGGCCTTTTGTTGTTCTCCTTCTGCTTGGCCTTTGGATAATAATCTCCTTTCTGACCCCCCTGACTCCACCTCTGTTGTGTCTGATATAGGGGGATGGGGAATATAGTCTGGCTGGGGAGCTCAGTCCATAGAGGTGAATGGGGGCATGATGCACCTGAACTACAACTCCCATGAGGCACCATGGTGGGATTTCTGAATAGAACATTTTCAGGTTTTGGCCAAAAACATTTTGATATTTGGATTTTTTTTTTAAATGAAAAGCCAAAATATATTACGGAAACAAAATTTTTCATGAACTGTGTTTGCTTTAGTTGAAAACCCAATTTTCCCTTCGAAAACAACTTTGATGGAAAATTTTTGACCAGCCCTAATGACAGCATTATGTAGCCTGACTAGCTCAAGATTCCTTATTTTCAATGCCTGCTTTCTCAGTGTTTAATATCACACTTTGGGCCAGATTTAACGGGTCACATTGGTTTTGTTTTTCCAATGTCACTAAATAAAAACCCTGACCTGGTTCACCTCATTTCCATCTCCTCATCCAATCCCTCCATAAATCACAATTCTTCCAAAATGCCTTTCACCATAGTCCTTTCCTCAGGTAGGAAGGTAACAAGCTAGATAGTTGAAAATCCTTACCCTAAAGCCCCACAAACAAATCACGGACCTAACGAGCCCTGCTAAGTGTCACTGTTCAGTCACTCTGCTTCCCACTGCATCCTGTTACTCTCACTCTATTTTATGTGTCTGTCTGGATTGTAAATCCTTTCAGGCAGGGATTTGGGTGAAATCCTGGCCCCACTGAAGTCAATGGGAGTTTTGCCATTGATTTTAATCAAGCCTGGATTTCACCCCTCCTCTATAAAACACTCAGCACACTGTTGGTGGATAAGGAGCTTCATGCTTAGTAGACAGGGCACCAGACTGGGAGTCAGGACCTGCACCTATTCCCATCTCTACCACTCACCTACTGTGTGATCTCGGGCAAATCACTTCTCTCTGATTCCCTTCCTACTCTTTGCCTGTCTTGTCTCTTTAGGTTGTAAACTCGTTAGGGCAGGGATTGTCACGTATATATGTACAGCACCTAACACAACAGGGCACCAGTCTGAGTTGGAATCTGAGTGTTACTGTTATATTAATAATAATCCTACAGTCTTTGTTTAGACCAGATTCTCATTGGCTGAGTAAGATCTGTGGGACCAGGATCTAATATGGCATCATTGATCCACTTGCTAAAATTCCCATTAGTATTTCTAGTGATGGCTTCCAATTTTCACTCTGTATATATGAAAAAACCTCAAGGATATGTCTACAATTAAAAAATAGCACTATTCAATATTTTTGAAATAGTGGGTTTGTAGAAAACATGTCTAGTGGCAGAAACAAACGATGCCAAGAATTCTACCTTGCAATCTCCGTCATTGGCATCATACAAAAGTTCCACAGGTTCTCTGACCATACTGTAGGACTGGTATGGGCCAAACACTTACTTTAGTTTGTGACTTACAGTACTTACCCAAACCTCTTCTTTCTTAACTTTCTTCTTTTCTACAGAAAAGAAAATGCACATTCTAAGGGCTTGTCTACATTATGCGCAGGATCGACGGGCAGTGATCGATCCAGTGGGGGTCGATTTATCGCGTCTAGTCTAGTCATGATCAATCAACTGCCGAGCGCTCTCCCATCGACTCCGGTACTCCACTGGAGCGAGAGGCGCAGGCAGAGTCGACACGGGAGCGTCAGCTGTCGACTTACCACAGTGAAGACACCACGGTAAATAGATCTAAATACTTCGACTTCAGCTACATTATTCATGTAATGCGTAACTTAGATTGATTTCCCCCCACCCCTAGTGTAGACCAGGCCTAAGAAATCAGAATTTTTTTGACTGTGATACGTAGATATTAAAGCCAAGAGTTTCAAAAGTGACTAGTGAGTTTGAGACACCTTTAAAAGTGCCTGACTTTCACAGGATAGGTGATCAGAACTTTCTGAAAATCAGACCCCTTTGAGGTGTTTCAGGTTGGCCATCCAAAATTGCTAGTCACACTTGACAATCTTGCCCTAGAACTAGAGGTGAATAATTTCCCACAACTAATTTTCTCAATTAATTTTACTTTCCATTGATTGTTTGAACAGATTTAGAAATTCACATATATTCAAAATTATTCACACTTTTTGACAGTGAATAATTTGCTTTGGGGATGAAATTCCCTTCTGTGCAGAAATTCCCTTCTATGCACAACTGAACTCCCACTCAAGCCATATTCTGAGGATTCAGCTGCTCCAAAGCCCTTGAACTGGCCCTCTGCAGGAGAGTAAATTTTACCTGTGGGGAATATTTGAACTAAAATGTAGCTTTCATGAGTATTTGCACTTGTAAAGCTTGTGCACTTGCAAGTTCATGAAAGCCAAACAAGAAAGTGTTACAAACCCAATCAAGCAAAATTCTGATTTGAAAAATGGATTGGATATTTGCAATCTCTTTCCCCCACCCAACCCCCATTTTCACTCATTTTGAGTTAGTAGTGAGCATAGGCGCCAACTTTCTAACGTGCCGGGGGGGGGGGGTTGCTCCTCCCTGCTTCGCCCCTGCACCCCTTCCCTCAAGGCCACACTCCATCCCTGCCTCTTCTTGCCCTATTGCGACCCCTGCCCCAGCGCGACCTACCTGCCGGCAGTCCCGCTAATCAGCGCCTTCCCCTGCCCCCCCAGCGCCTGCTGCATGCCGCAGAACAGCTGATCCACAGCGGGCAGGAGTCACTGGGAGGGAGGGGGAGGTGCTGATTGGCGGGGCTGCCGGTGGGCAAGAGGCACTGAGGAGAGGAGGAGGTGCTGATAGGGGAGCTGCCAGTGGGTGCTCAGCACCCACCTTTTTTTTCCTATGGGTGCTCCCTGGAGCACCCACAGAGTGAGCGCCAATAGTAGGGAGACTGGGCTTCTCTACAGTACAGACCCATGGAAGCTGCCCAATTTCAAGGGTGCATGCTGCCTCTACATTTCTGCATTTCCTTTTTTGTTCCCTCCTTCGAGGCTTTTTTAAAAATCTCCCTTCAATCAACACCTCCAGCCACCAACAGGCCCTGTTGGTTGGCATGTGATGGCCTAAAATGTATAATTACTGCAGATGGGTCTGAGCCTGAACAATTACTTCAAACCATCTTCCTTTCCCCCCTCACCGCCTCAACTTTTGGGTGCTCAACTTGAGACAACTTGAAGGGACCCAATTTTTCAGAAAGTACCAGGCATCCAGCCTCTGAAAAATCAGGCACCTCTAAGGGTCTCAAACCAGGCACCCAAAATCACTTGTTATAGGTGAGAATCATGGCTTCCAAATTGGGAAGGTCTGGTTGTGTGTCCAGTGTCCAAAAGCTGGTTGTTGCTGAGTCAGCTCAAACTGTATTTAGGAGATTGAACTAATGAAAAGTGCTGGTAAGGCTAATTGGAAAATAGTTAATAAATTCCTGCCCCACCATGCCAGAGCACTAGGCTACACCAGGCTTGTTCTTTACGCAACAGTTTCATAGATTTTTTAAGACCAGAAGGGACCGTTAGATCATCTATTGTGACCTTCTGTATTAGCACAGGCCATATAATTTCACCCAGTTATCCCTGTACATGGATTATTTATCTGAAAATGGAATTACAAATTTCTCTGACTAAGGCTATGTCTACCCTATGAGCTCGGGGTGTGATTCCCAGCTTGTGTACATATGCTGGTGCTAGCTCTCATCTGAACTAGCATGCTAAAAATAGTAGCGTAGCCATGGTAGCATGGGCAACAGCAGTAACAACACCAGCTAGCAGCGCTGAGTACAAACCCGCCTGATCCCTGGGGATACACTCCCGGCACAGCTAGCCCATGCCACTGTCCATGTTACTACAGCTACAGTACTACTTTTAGCATGCTAACTCAGATGAGAGCTAGCGTGTGTACAGGAGCTTGGAATTACACCCCTAGCTGCTAGTGGAGATGCAGCTTAATAAGTGGTGCACTTGTTCTTAAAAAGTAATAAAAGCATTAAAAAAAGATACATACCTGGTGTGTTTTTCCTGTAATAAAAATATAAAGTTATCAATATAGTTAATATATGCAATACCTATGTCTACAAAAAAATCACGTTCCAGTTCCAGCCCTGACAAATCTGTTCTTTTTTCCTTTGGCAAACGGGATTTTTTTTGTGTTTGACCTTTTTCGGTTTGTTTAGTTTGGGCATGTTTGTTCTGCTGCGCCTCAGCATTATTAACTACTGCTATTGAGCTACCAGAAGCAGTCAAACAGCCCTGAATATTGTTCTTGTGACTCCCCAAAGAATGTCTGTATATTTTTTAATCTTATCAATAACAGCATAGTGGAGTTATACCACCCCCCAAAATTATACTTTAAAAAATTACACTCCCCATCCAATTCTAGGGCTGAGCTAATATCTTTTAAAATATTTGAAAGGTTTAAAATGTGACTTGAAAATATCAAGATTGCTTTTTAATGTGGCCCAATTGAATCATTGGCACCAATTAATAAATAATAACAATAGCCAGATTATATGCCACTGTATCCATTTGTCATTTCTACCACGAATTGCTAAACTCCTTGCACACACCTCTAGAATAATAACAATAGCTTGCTGTTAATATTTTATCTCTAAGGCTGCGTGTCGGTCACGGAAGTCACGGATTCCGTGACTTTCCGTGACCTTTGTGACTTTTGCAGCAGCCGGTGCGGCTGGTTGAGGAGCTAACCGAGGCAGCCCCTGGGCCAGCAGCAGCAGTGTGGAAGGGGGCTCAGGGCTGGGGCAGGAGGTTAGGGTGTGGGGCGGCGCTTACCTTGGGGGGGGAGGCTCCCCGGAAGCAGCCGGCATGACCCTGCAACTCCTGACCTAGTCGGAGAGGCCAGGGGGCTCTGCGTGCTGTCCCTGCTTGCAGGCACCGCCCCCACAGCTCCCATTGGTTGCGGTACCCAGCCAATGGAACCGGAGCTCGGCGGGGGACATGCGCGGAGCCCTCCAGCCTTTCCTCCCCCTAGGAGCTGCCGGGACACATGGAGCTGGGTAGGGCGCCTACCTGCCCCCCCCAGTCCTCCCCTCCCAGCACCAGCGGGGGTCCCAGGCCATCCCCCCAGCACCCACGGTACCCCCAGACCGCACCCCCCAACACCCCAGAACACCCACAGGCCCCGGCCCAAGTTTTAGTTACGGGTAAATAGTACAAGTCAAGTACACGTCACGGGCCGTGAATTTTTGTTTACTGACCGTGATCTGTCCAGGACTTTTACTAAAAATACCTGTGACTAAAACATAGCCTTAGTTTTCTCTCATTCTGAAAGATCTTAGCACAATTTTGCCATGATCCTGACTGGGACTTCTGGTGGTAACAAACAATTATTATTTTTTCTGCTTGTGATGTTCAGCTAAAGCATTTGACTAAAGTATCAGTAAATCCACCAAGTGTTTTGATGTCATTTTGATTTGACTCTCATCTCTTTAAAGAATCAACATCCTATTCCAACAACTAGTAACGTTTATTACAGCAAATGACATATTGCTCTAAAATATTCAAAGTATAAATTCCATTAACTCTCAGAGCTTCAAGTTGTCTTTATAAGTAGCAGGTATTTCTCAATAGTAATAACAAAAAACTCACTCTTTCTCAAGGAAACTAGTGTTTATGTTCTTTTTTTGATTACTTACAGTGGTCTTTTATCTGCTTTGGGTTTTGGTGGACAGTAGGTACGGATATATTTTGCCAGCAGGAAGGATAGGTATCCAAGCAGTCCAAGCAATAGCATGCTGCCAACAGAAATGAGGAATGGCACGTACCAAGCTGATTCAGAATAAACATTTTCTGTTCTGATCAGAAGCGTAATGGCAGGCTTTGAAAAAAAATAAATAAAAGGTTCTTAAATGATGCAAACTCTGAATTTTGTTGACACCTAGTGTAAAAAGTATGTTCCTGATTGTGCTCCTGTGTTTTACATTAAAACATGAATGCAGTGGTTGTGTTTAAAAATTTTGGATTGCCTTAGGGTATGTCTACACTGCACTCAGGAGGTGTGACTGCAGCATGTGTAGGCATATCCGAGTTAACTTTGAAGCTAGCTCAAGTAACCGTATCAGTGTGGCTGCAGCAGCAGGGATGGTGGCACAGCCCCAAGCCATTTAAATATGTAGCCAGAGTCCTGGGTGGGGTGGTACTCAGGAAGGTAGCCCATCTTGGACTGCTGCCCCCTCCACTGCTATTGTTACCTGAGCAGGGCCGGATCTAGGTTTTTTGCTGCCCCAAGCAAAACAATTTTTGGCTGCCCCCACCTCAGCCCTGGGCTCTCATCCCTGCCCCCACCAGTGCCCTCCCCCACCCGCACCCCCTGCCGCCCCACCCCTGGGCTCTCTCTTCCCCCCCCTGCACCTCCTGCCGCCCCAGCCCTGGGCTCCCCCCCACCCGTGCTGACTCCGCCCGCTCCCCCCTTGCCTCCAGCCGGTCCGGCGCTGGCACGGTCAGGGTAAGCAGCGGGGCTCCCAGGCCACGCCTCAGCCCAGGGTTCCTCCAGCCAGGGCTCCCGCCTCCAGGACCGGCTGGGAGCCGGGAGGTCAGAGCCGGGGGACTGCCCCGGCAGGGGGCTGAGGAGCCAGGGCAGGGTAGCCCCAGAGGGAGCAGAGCCCCGGAGAGCGGGATGCGGGCCCCACACGGCAGCGCCCCGCCCTCTATGGCCCTGCTGCTGCTGTTTCTGGCCGCCCTGCCGCAGTCTCTGGGTGGCTCGGGCCACTTCGCCCAGCCCCGGCTGCGGTGCTGGGGGGCGGCCGCCCTGCAACACCTGCAGGCGGCTCCGTGTGCCCCGCGGGCGGCCCCCAGCCTGAGTGTCCCACGCTCGGAGCCTGCCCGGCCCAGCCACAAGGTGCGGGCGCTGCTCCCCCGTGGCATGAACCGCAGCGGCCCCAGGGCGCCCCCCGTGCATGATGTGCTGCTGCTGCCAGGGCCAGCTCTAGGCTTTTGCCGCCCGAAGCAAAAAAAAAAAAAAAAAAAGATGGCCAGAATGCTGCCACTGAAAATGTGCCAGCCCAAGCACGTGCTTGGTTTGCTGGTGCCTAGAGCCGGCCCTGTACTTCAGCTAGGTTTGACTAGCTAGATCAGGTATGTTTACCCAAGCTGCAATCACGTCTCCCGATTGCAGTGAAGATGTACCCTTAGACAACTAGAAGATTCTACCTCACTATCTTTGTATATGGAAGTACAGGAAATACTGTTCAGTGTTGAGGTAATAGTTTCTAGTTATCTAAGGCAAAACTGGAAAGTTTTAAAGCACTATCATTGTATGCAGTTCAATGTGTAGTAACACAATTCCCTTTCTAAAAATGCGTTGATCCTAGAGGAATCGGGAACATTACATAAAAATAAGTGAAACCCCAAATTCTCATGTGACATTCCTTGGCTCTAGAAAAAAACCTAAACCACAAAGTTGCGAGCTATATCTGAGGTTCCCCCCAAAATGAAAGATATTCAGAAACATTATTGTTTTTTCTCTACTGCGGTGTCCTTTCCATGTGAAATTTTGCACTATTCGTTTTTATTGCCTTTGAGTTTCCTATATAGTTTTTATTAAATTTTTAATTGGTCTCTGCACTAAATTCATCAGGGTTTCTAGCTATTCCTTGTTGACTGATATCTTTAAAATAACGTTGAGTATCCACACAAAAACTGGCAGATACATGATTCTTGAGTAGATCTGGTACAATGTGTAGTTATTGGAAGAAAACATTTACAGTTAAAGGTAATCTTTTTCCATTATTCTTCATCATAAAGCTTATTAGCCAGCAGGGTTGGGCACATAAAATCTTCAAAGAAACTCACCAACAATTGCCCTCTTTCAAAATGGCCACCATTTCCCACTATTCTTGATGGGACTGAGACCATAGGCTGCCCTCATTTAGGACCATCATCTTCCTAGGATACCTATTGGGAATGAGGATTTGCAGCTGCAGCTGCCCAATCTCCAGGCAGCCTCCGAGTACAGCTGAGCCACAGCAGGGCCATCCAATTTACCACCAAACTACCAAACTTCACCAAACTATTACCCCAAAATGGACACAACTAATAGTGTTGGAAGCAGGTGAGGTAGTGCAACTCTCATGATATTTGTTGTGACTCGAGTGATTTTTGGAGTCGGGTTTTTTGCCTGTCTCATGAAAACATGATGAAAGGCACCAACTCATGAATTTTCCCTTATTCAACACGGTCACCATCTCCTATTACTATCAATGGGACTGAAACCAGCAAGATGGCCACCATTTTCATACAGTCTATCTGTATGTGAAAGTGAGGCTGCCCTTAATAAAGTTGGCTGCAACATTCCACTGTTTTCAGTTAGATTGAAGCAACACCCACGGGCAAAATGGCTTCCACTGCATGGTTCAGGGGGCTGGACAGGAGACGGGCTGTGAGGATCAGCAGAGACACTATCCCATATATGAATGATTAAACATATCAAAATTCTTTAATATGTGTAGCTAACCCATCAACCCTAAAAGAAATACAAGTTCTAGGTATGAGTGTGAATGATGATGTATTAATTAGATCAGTAGTTCTCCAACTACTACCTTCCAGTCTTTCTTTTGTCAATGGAGGTAAACTAGGAGGGGAGAAAGTCAAGACAGTACTAGGGAATGGATGACAGTTTGTCTATCTTAGGAGAGAGGAGAGGATAAATGGAGTCTCCATTTGAGCAGCCAGGGAGAGGTGTGCATTAAAGGTTGACTTTTCCACCTCAAATTATCACACACCCATTGGCAGAGAAGTAGAGGGGTGTTAAAAAGTCAAAAGACAGACGGAAAAGCTTGATTTGTTGCTTTTTTAAAATCTCAATGTGCAGGGTCTGACTCATGATTTTTGATCTCTGAAGGCTGGCAGTACTGAGTGAAAGAGGAGTGCGGGAGAGAAGATGCAGGGGTATCCTGGTGCTGGGAGGCTGGTAGCATGAGGGAAGCGGAATTGAGGTTGTGATATGTGATCTGTGGTGCATGGTAGTTTGTGGTAATGGTAAAGTGTGTGGCTGTGGGAGAAGGGGTAGAGAGTAAGTACCAGTAGGCAGTTTAACATCTGATTTCTATGGATTGGTGTGTGTGTGGCAATCTTAACTTTCACTACAGGGTATTTTTCTATATTAACAGAGATAGGAGTCAGTTAGGAAGTTTGGATCCAGGCATTTTCAAAGCAAAGCTCCTGTGATTTCAAACACTCCACGTGTGAGATTCTAGGTTTCTGATCCAGGCCTGTCTCTACTTGGCTCATCTGTGAGTTTACTTAGGGCACAGCATGTAAGATTCCACTCCCTTGTCCACCCTCTGCAACTTCCCCACATCTTGGCTCAGGTGCGCTGGGGAGAGCAGGGGCTGATACCACCAAGCAGGGGGGCAGAGACTGGAGTGAAGAATGGGGCAGACCCGTGGCTGCACACCCCTCTTTTTTAAAACACCAGCCAGTAGAGCTGACATGGTGCAGGATGACAGAAGCAATCTGCATCTGGTAAAGTGCTGGCACAAATTACCTCCCTCTGAGAGAAGTGATGGAGACAGGGAAAGAATTGTGACTCTGAACCACAGTTCTTCCTGAGGTGGCTCTGCTATGGAACGTCCCATATATACAAAGGCGGAATAAGGTTTCCCAGGTCCCTGGGCCAGAGCAAGTGGGGGGCTCCTCTGCACCCCTTCTGCCTGTGGCCCCGCCCACAGCCCCACCCTTTTCTGCCCCTTCCCCAGGACCACACCCCTGTTCTACCCTCCCATTCCATCAGCCCCACAACCCTTTTCTGCCCTGCCCCCATGGCGGCCCCAAGCCCGGAGAAGCTCTGTCCCCATGACACGGCCCCAGGCTCATAGACTCATAGACTCATAGACTTTAAGGTCAGAAGGGACCATTATGGTCATCTAGTCTGACCACCCGCATGACGCAGGCCACAAAAGCTGACCCACCCAATTTCCCTTATCTCAGCTGTTGAAGCCTTCAGATCGTGATTTAAAGACTTCAAGTCACAGAGAATCCTCCAGCTTGCGACCCCTGCCCTATGCTGCGGAGGAAGGCGAAAAACCTCCAGGGCCTCTGCCAATCTGCCCTGGAGGAAAATTCCTTCCCGACCCCAAATATGGCGATCAGTAGAACCCCGAGCATACAGGCAAGATTCTCCAGCCGGACCCACATTTTACCAGCTCCAGCAGGGAGTGAGAGCTCCTCCAGTCCCAGGGCCGCAGTGGGGGTCCGGGTGCTGGGGCTTCCCCTGCCACCTCCTGCACTTCTGGGGGGGAATAGGGTCAGGGTGCTGGGGTTTCTCCCACCCAGCGTTTCTGCTGGAGAGCGGGGTTGGGCACGGGGGATCTCCCTGCCATCCTGCAGCTTCTTCCAGAGATGGGGTCAGGGTACTGAGGGGGCTTCCCCTGTCCCCGGCTTCTGCCGGGGTGGGGGTGAGGCACTGCAGGGTTTTCCCCCATCCCGCAGCTTCTGCCCGGGACAGGGGCGGGGGGAGGGAGGGGGTGCTGTGGGGTTTCCCCCCATCCCGCAGCTTCTACCGGGGACACAGTCTGAGGACCTGGGGGTGGGCTTCCCCATCCTGTAGCTTCTGCCAGGGATGGGGTCGGGGATGCTGGGGGAGGGGGCTTCCCCGCCTCACCCACCAGATGGCAGAAGCCAGGGGCCCCCAGTTGGCCCGTGGACCCAGTGGCTAAACTCCCACTGCATATGTAGGGCATTGATCAAAGACTCCATCCCACACTTAACATTTCTTTGCAACTTTGTGTGTTTGAAACCCACGAAAACATTGGATGTGGGTGAGTGGGATATGCTAGATGTGTATAGAACCGCTTGAATTTTTGCCACAGACAGTCACTGGTTATAATATTTGGGTGATCCAAGTGATGGAGAAATATCCTTCTGGCTGGTTGAAAGCTAGTTTTGTGCTGCCTTTTTTTTTTTTATCTTCACACACACAGAGATTAATTTGTATTCCGTCATTAGAGAAATATACAGATGTGTGAGTCAGCCAAAGCAGTGTTTAGCTAGGAACCAAAAACCAGTCTCTGAGCAATGCGTGAAGAAATGTTAATATCTCAGGCAAAGGTTAACTCCTGCTCTCTCCTTATCAATGCAGCTGCCAAAGTCTATAACTTCTCAATTGTATGCTCTGCACATGAGACTCTGTGACAGTCTCCACATGGTAGGCTCCACAGCTCAAGCAGGGCCCATCTGTTTTTTCAGGCTTGCAGGGAGAGTGGGAGTTAGAGGGGATGGGGTGTAGAGCAGTGGTTCTCAAACTAGGGACGCCGCTTGTTCAGGGAAAGCCCCTGGTGGGCTGGGCCGGTTTGTTTACCTGCCGTGTCCACAGGTTCGGCCGATCGCAGCTCCCACTGGCCGCGGTTCACCGCTCTAGGCCAATGGGAGCTGCAGGAAGTGGTGCGGGCTGAGGGACGTACTGGCTGCTGCTTCCCTCAGCCCTCATTGGCCTGGAGCGGCGAACCACGGCCAGTGGGAGCCGCGATCGGCCAAACCTGCGGACGCGGCAGGTAAACAAACCAGCCCAGCTCGCCCGAACAAGCGGTGGCCCTAGTTTGAGAACTACTGGTGTAGAGTATGTTGCAGAATGGGGTATTTTTAATCAATTATTTTATTATGGATTGATATTTTGACAGGGGCTAGGCTGTTTGGGATGCTTTCTTGTATTGGCTGTGATCTTAGGTGATGGCAGGGTACCTGGACCTTTGGGTAGGTGCCTTTTTTGTTGTAGAAAGTGAAATAAAAAAATAAACATTATGGGTTTGTATACAGGTCCAATCCTGCAAGACACTGAGATCCCTGTCTCCCACTGACTTCACTTTAAGTGGAAGATGCTTACCCTTGCCCAGGATTGGGCCCACAGTAATTCTTGTGTTCTTTTGAGTGCACTTACCCTCAGTTGTTTTAACTGTCCCACACAGACCCGCCCATGCATCAGCCACAGAATTAAGTTGAAGATTCAGAATTTCAGTGAACTTACTGTAGTAGTGGTGGTAGTAGTCGGCTTTGGGATAACTTTGATGCTTAATGTCACTGTCCCAGTTTCAATGAGGGCTGTAGCTCTGTTCGAACCTGACAGCAAATTGTCATCTGTTATATAGACATGCAGTCTGTAGTCCCAGATTGTATCCAAACCACTGTCATAGTCAAATCTAGATGCAAGAATCAACTGAGAGATGTTGGAGCCAGCACTTGGTGAAAAAGTGAAATGATTATTCGCATTACCTAGAAGTAGAAGCAAAAAAATCAACATAAAACAGATGCACAAAACATTGTGAAAAGGGCCACTGATTTCACTTCTATCTACAATTTGTTACTAATCAATTATGCAATCATTTGGCTGTACAGCACTGCCTTCAGAAACCGCTGAAAGGGATGATGTGCTCTAGCAGCATTAGCATTGGTCTGTTCTATGAAATGGCTCCAGTTACTAGAAGTTGATTACCAGGACTACTATAGAAAATAGTACCATAACTGAAGTGCTAAAGGTAGGAAATAAGCACCTTTAGTGAGACATACATCTGAGAACAGACTTTTGTGCAAGGTTTAATGTTCAACATCTTCATTAATGATCTGGATGATGGGATGGATTGTATCCTCAGCAAGTTCGCAGATGACACTAAGCTGGGGGAGAGGTAGATATGCTGGAGGGGAGGGATAGGGTCCAGAGTGACCTAGACAAATTGGAGGATTGGGCCAAAAGAAATCTGATGAAGTTCAACAAGGACAAGTGCAGAGTCCTGCACTTAGAATGGAAGAATCCCATGCACTGCTACAGGCTGGGGACTGACTGGCTAAGTGGCAGTTCTGCAGAAAAGGACCTGGGGATTACAGTGGACGAGAAGCTGGATATGAGTCAACAGTGTGCCCTAATAGCCAAGAAGGCTAATGGCATATTGGGCTGTATTAGTAGGGGGATTGCCAGCAGATTGAGGGAAGTGATTATTCCCCTCTATTCGGCACTGGGGAGGCCACATCTGGAGTATTGCGTCCAGTTTTGGGGCCCCCACTACAGAAAGGATGTGGATCAATTGGAGAAAGTCCAGCGGAGGTCAACTAAAATGATTAGGGGGCTGGGGCACATGACTTATGAGGAGAGGCTGAGGGAACTGGGCTTATTTAGTCTGCAGAAGAGAAGAGTGGGGAGGCGGGGGGATTTGATAGCAGCCTTCAACTACCTGAAGGGGGGTTCCAAAGAGGACAGAGCTCGGCTGTTTTCAATGGTGGCAGATGACCAAAAAAGGAGCGATGGTCTCAAGTTGCAGTGGGGGACGTTTAGGTTGGATATTAGGAAAAACTATTTCACTAGGAGGTGGTGAAGCACTGGAATAGGTTACCTAGGGAGTTGGTGTAATCTCCTTCCTTAGAGGTTTTTAAGGCCTGGCTTGACAAAGCCCTGGCTGGGATGATTTAGTTGGGGTTGGTCCTGCTTTGAGCAGGGGATTGGACTAGATGACCTCTTGAGGTCTCTTCCAACCCTAATCTACTATGATTCTATGCTAAGGGCTATTGCAAGAGATCCTCATAGCATCTGAATGAGTTGGTCTTAACAACTCTGTATAAGATCCTGTGCTACACCTCCAATAGACACAGCACAGAACTCACAGCCTCGGGTGAGGGTTAAGGTGGCTTTAAGACATCTTTTTGTGCCCTCCCAAACCTGGGCTGTTCTGGCTCACCGGCTTAATTTAGGGCTTGTCTACACTTGAAACACTACAGCAGCACCGCTGTAGCGCATCAGGGTAGACACTACCTATGCCAATGGAAGGGATTCTTCCATCAGCGTAGCCAATCCACCTCCCCGAGAGGTGGAATTCTTCCACTGACCTAGCGCTGTCTACATGGGGACTTAGGGCATCTTAACTACGCCACTCAGGGGTATGGATTTTTCTGCGGATCTACTTTTCTAGTGTAGCCTAGGCCTTAAACAGCATCCCTATGGCTGCACTATGGGTCTCAGCACTGCCTTGTATCTGTGCAGACCCACCAATTGACATGCCTCTTTCACTCCCAGCTTCACCCCCTGCATGTCCCCTATTCAAGGCTTTGCAAAGGGGTCCTCAGAAGATAGCCTTACTGTTTTTTCCTCAGTGCCTGCACCAGGAGACTCCTCCCATGGCCAGGACCAGGGCTTTTAGAGGCCCTTTATGCTACTCTGAGCCTTTTATGTTGCATAAAGGGGCTGGAGTGGGGGTGAGGCTCTCACCCTCTCTACTTAAGATATTTGTCTGAATCACCTGTTCAATCATTACCCCATTCTCTGCCTCAAAAGGAGAAGTTTTTCCTAAATTAAAATGGCTCCCTTTTTGTGAAATGAGGCAACACCAAATGTCTCAGCACCTGGCTTATAATTGATTTTTGTGTCCAAGCACCTGTTCTTACAAAGGGATTTTAATGAGTACAGCATGAAGGTAGGACACAAGTTTTGTAGAGTAGTTTTGAGCAGTGCCCCAAATTCCACTCTGTTACACTGACAGAAATCTGAAATACTGGAACTCCATTAAGTCCAATGGGGTTATTCAAGTTTACCCTGTTATAACTGAAAGTACAATTTGTCCCTGTGTACAAGAGGAGTAGCAGTCTGGCTGGCTCCAGTGAGTAAATGTGAGTTTTGCCATTAATTTAAATGGAAGCTCTAGCTAGCTAATCTTTGTTATTTCTAAAGTGCCTGTCAATCACCATGGTATTAAACCCTAGCCAATATCAGCATTAGCATGTAATATGTACTAGACTTTTTTGTTCACAAAATCAAATGGACTGTCTATAGCCAAGCATTTTCCTCGTGCATCAGACATGCAACAATGACATTCAAGAGTCAAACAAATGCAGTACCTGAATTAATGAAGTACCGGAAAGATCTGGGACTAGAATCACGATCAACACACTCTATCCTGAAACCCTCAATGTTGGTCCCAACAGCTAGGTCTACCGGGATTGCCAGTGAATAGGTATTGGCTGAACAAACTGGTTTTTCATCATTTACTTCAAGAACATTGATGGTTACCTGAAAGAGAGCCAGCTGATCAGGTGAGATTCTTCCACTATGCTGTGCCAGAATATTGCCAGCTCTAGTAGCTAGTAGGATTTGTTCTTCTTTCTTTTTATTGACAGTAGTTAAACAAGAGTGGCAGGGAAGGTCCATTAATTTAGTTTTTGCCTTAGACATGTTAAAGTTCAAGAGATCATGAACTCACGTTGTGACCAACGTCCCTTTAGAACTCCGATTCCTTAAGGCAAATTATGTTTTAACATTGCACTTTCTTTTATGTGGGACTTTTGATTTTTTTGAATTGCCTGAAGTATGTCATAGAATGGAAAATAATACTTTACACTTATTAGATCTAGCCCGGGGCGGGCAAACTTTTTGGCCTGAGGGCCGCATCGGGTTTCGGAAATTGTATGGAGGGCCGATTAGGGAACGGGGTTGTGGCCCGGACCCCCCCCCCATTAACCCCCCTCTCGGGACTCCTGCCCCTTCCACCCCCGCTCCCTGTCCTCTGACTGCCCCTGGAACCCCCGCCCCTGATTGCCCCCCGCTGCCCCATCCAACCCCTCCTCTCATTCCTGACTGTCCCCCCAGGACCCCTGCCCCCATTCAACCCCCCTGTTCCCTGCCCTCTGACCGCCCCGACCCCTGCCCACCCCCCCCGAACTCCCCTGCCCTCTATCCAACACCCCCCCCTCCCTGCCCCCTTACCGCGCTGCCTGGAGCACTGGCGGCTGGCGGCCCTACAGCTGCACCACTCGGCTGGAGCCAGCCACACCGTCGCCACCACGCAGCACAGAGCACCAGGTCAGGCCGGGCTCGGCGCCCCAGAAGCTCACAGCCCCGCCACCCAGAGCATTGTGCTGGTGGCGGGGCAAGCTGAGGCTGCGGGAGAGGGGGAACAGCAGGGGAGGGGCCGGGGGCTACCCTCCCAGGCCAGGAGCTCAGGGGCCGGGCAGGAGGGTCCCGCAGGCCAGATGCGGCCCACGGGGCCGTAGTTTGCCCACCTCTGATCTAGCCATTCAAGGTTCTCAAAGTGCTTCACAAATGTTAATTAAGGGTATGTCTACACTTACCGGAGGGTCCGGCGGCAGGCAATCGATATTCTGGGATCGATTTATCGTGTCTGGTTTAGACGCGATAAATCGATCCCGGATCGATCCCGGAAGTGCTCGCCATCGACGCCGGTACTCCAGCTCGGCGAGAGGAGTACGCGGCATCGACGGGGGAGCCTTCCTGCCGCGTCTGGACCCGCAGTAAGTTCGGACTAAGGTACTTCGAATTCAGCTACGTTATTAACGTAGCTGAATTTGCGTACCTTAGTCCGAAGTGGGGGGGTAGTGTGGACCAGGCCTAAGCTTCCCGACATTTAATAATAATTCAGGGACTGAGGTTTTTAAGGTCAGGTTTGACAAAGCTCTGGCTGGGATGATTTAGTTGGGGTTGGCCCTGCTTTGAGCAGGGGGTTGGACTAGATGACCTCCTGAGGTCTCTTCCAACCCTGATATTCTATGATTCTATGACTGTTCCATGCACGAAGGGAGCCCTCCTCATGTAGATCAACCCTTCCCCATGTGGAGATGAGGTGCAGTGAGAGGATAAGCATTCTCCCCCCAACTCCCCTTGTTCCTTCACCAAGCAGTTATTGGCTGGAATGGAAAATTGGGCCTAAAATCTTGGAGATAATACAATTTTTTGTAATAGCAAAATCAAATGTAATGCAAAAATGGGGTAAAGAGAGATGTTAACCACTGAAGGAAACAGTTTATATGCACAGAAGTTTGGTGTTCTCTGAAACATATAAGGAGTGAATGTAAGCTTACGTCTACACTTACGGCGGCGTGTACAGTACAGGTACTACACATGTAGGTATACACCACAGTGAAAGGCAGGCTGCATCCATACTTGTCACTGTGCTGTGTAGCTACATGTGGCAGTGAAAGGCTCCAGAAGTAAGGAAAGGCTTTCATTGCATCCAGGAAAGGCTCTGGAAGATGGGAGGCAGCAGAGAGAGGCTCTGGCAGCAGGAAATTGCTGGAGCCTTTCCCCACTGCTGCCAGCCTTTCACTGTGGTGGGGAAAGGCTCCTGCAGCAGGGAGACGGAGACTATGCTGCTAAAAATAGCCGTGTAGACATGGGAGGCATTGCTTGGACATGTAGATAGCCATGTAGGGTGTATCTACCCTAGATTTCAGGAGTGCCGGGCACTCTACTCCACTCAGTTAAGCTGTGCCTCACTGTCCACACAGCTCTTTATACCCGTGCTAGCTGGGCGTGCAGTATCTGTACTTAACATGCTGCTGTAAGTGTAGACATGCTCTTTACGGCCTTTGTGGATACACAGAAAACTCTCTTACTGCCCACCAGAACTATCAAGAATGAATAACAGGCAGATAAAAGATAGTGTTGAAAGGAAAAAACAACAAATAAAAACACTGCATTTTTTTTTTAAATGGCAGGACTCCCTGCTCCCTCCCACTGTATCCTCCCTTTGTGTGAAATTCAGCCCTGTGTAGAGAGCCAGCCCACAGCCTCAATATCACTTCAGTGGGAGCTGAGTGGTGCATAGGTCTTGGGATGACCATGGACATAGGCTAAATTTTGCCTCAGGTAGGGGAGACATTTGCAGAAGTGATATAGTTACTCACGGACACTGTAGCAAGCTTCTCTGTGTCAGAAGCTTGCACTGTGAGAATGTACCTCTGCGTTGTTTCATAGTCTAATGTTGCTATAATCTTCAGATTTCCTTCATTTGGGTCGATCCAAAATATATTTGTGTAAGAAAGGGTACCTCCTCCAGCTACAATGGAATATGTGATTCCAGTAAATGGTAAATCCTTGTCTGTTGCACTCACTTTTCCAATGCTGGATCCAGCTGAAAAGAAGAGTCATCTTATCTTAACATTTAAAAAAATTACACACAAAATGAAATGTAAAGACTATCAGGCTCCTCCTAAGTGACTTTCTTAGTTCAAATGACATAGGCAGATTTTAATGTAACTCTAATTTAGGACTTGTCTACACAAGTAATTATTCCAGAATAGTCATTCTGGATTAACTCTTGGTATGAATGTTCTTATTCCAGAATAATAGTCCCTTATGCCAAATTAGCGTAATCCATTCCCAAAGGTATTCTTATTCTGGAATGAATGTGTCCACACCAGGACTTAATCAGGAATAGATGCGGTGCTTGAACTTCACATGCTACCTTAATCTGAATTAACTTCTCAGTATCAACAAGCCCTCAATATTTGTTTTATTTCTTTTTTTTAACCAAAAAAAAAAAAAAAGAAAAAAAAGAAAGAAAGAAAGGAGGGGGAAGAAATACAAAAGTTTCCTATATTTTGGCTGTCAGTTTCCCCATATATATGATTTTTCATATGTGATGCAAGAGTGACTTCTGTGCAGGAGTTAATTTCACCCTAAATGCATATTTAAATAACCAGCTTCATATGAATTATGGGCTAAATGCCAAAAGTGAAGCAGGGAGGGAGGTTGGGGAGCTGTTGTCACTGAGGCCATCAACATTCCATTTATTTCTCCTCCTGGCTCTGTGAATTCCAGCCCTGCTGCAGATTGCTAGCTCCTAGTTGGTGTGACAGCCAGCATGCTTTCTGCTGGCACTACCCCTTCCCCAGAATCCCGTTAGAGCCCACATCTGTATTTTCTCCAAAAATGTGTGCTGTTTTGCAAAGGGTTTTTAAAGCAATAGTATTTAAAGGTTTACACTAACACTTGTTTAACTCGTATAAGCATTTTTCAGAATCCAGCAAAGCTCTGTGAGGGACACAGAGGTTTATAGTCACACATGGGTTTCAGAGATTTATTTAAATGATTACATTACAAAGGTCTGAATCACACAGGTGGGAGGAGGGAAGTACATGCAAGACAGTAAACTCCATGAGGTTCCCCATATTGTGCCTACAGAGAGGCAGTGTATGATGCCTAGCCTCACCCCTACACCATGGAACTAACAGGTCTCTCAAAACCAAAGCATTCCTGATAGCTGCATGAATCTAGGGGGAACAGCTGAAGATCAGGGCCCTGGCCCTCTACATGGGGACCTGTGCCTCCACACTACGGGTATGTCTATACTACCCACCAGATCGGCGGGCAGCGATCGATCCAGCAGGGATCGATTTATCGCGTCTAGTCTAGACGTGATAAATTGACCCCCGAGCCCTCTCCCATCGACTCCTGTACTCCAGCACCGCGAGAGGCACAGGCAGAGTCGACGGGGGAGCGGCAGCAGTCGACTCACCACAGTGAAGACACCACGGTAAGTCGATCTAAGTACGTCGACTTCAACTACGTTATTCACGCAGCTGAAATTGTGTAGCTTAGATCGATTCCCTCCCCCCCCAGTGTAGACCAGGGCTAAGTCTCTGCTCTCCTTGATTCCCATCAGCAACTTGACATTTTAGCTCCTGCATCAGAGGGGTAGCCGTGTTAGTCTATATCCACAAAAACAATGAGGAGTCTGGTGGCACCTTAAGGACTAACAGATTTATTTGGGCATAAGCTTTCATGGGTAAAAAACCCACTTCTTCAGATGCGTGGAGTGAAAATTACAGAAGCCACACTGCCAGGGAATACTAGCCAGCCAAGCCGCCAGAAAACTCTCTTCTGAGGAGACAGGACTTGAACCCACATCTCCTGAGTCCCAGTGTAGTGCCTTACCATTACACCAGCCTTTGTTTTGCATTTTTGCTTGAAAAGCCTGTTTGAGCATCGCTGAGCTCAAACAGGCTCTTTCAAACCACACAAAGCTTGTAGAGTTTCAGAAGCAGCCTCAACATGTTCCCACCCTGAACACAGGCCAGGATTTGGTAGGTATTGCAGGCCCAGTCTTTTCTTGCAATTTTGCTGTAGGTCTGCCATACTTTTTTCAAGTGATGGTTCTGTGCATTGTCTTTTGTCTGCTTGCAGTTGTGACCATCTTGAGCTGATATGACACCTTGTCATAGGGTATACAAACCCCACCCTGGCTGAGAAGAGGTTAATGACAGCCTGTGAGCTCAGTCAGCCCCACTCTTTTAAAACCTGCCAAAGATGGCAAGCCTGAAGGGAGGAGTCAAAGAGGAAAAGCCCAGCTCAGTAGTGGCTGACCAGGACGGGTGGATCTCTTGTGCTAGGCCCTTGAAGGAAGGCCTGGCTGAGGCCAGAGGAAACCTAGAAGTTGCCTGGAGGAAGCCTGGGCTGGGACCCAGGGCCTATCCAGAGCCTCCCGGGGTAGGTAGGGACCTTTCAATTTGCTTTGTTCCCTATAACTGATCTGAGTCATGAGAAGTAGACCAGGCCTTCCTTGCGAGGTCCACATCTCCTTCTGGTCAGCCACTAGTGAGTTGTAGCCCACGAAAGCTTATGCTCTAATAAATTTGTTAGTCTCTAAGGTGCCACAAGTACTCCTGTTCTTTTTGCGGATACAGACTAACACGGCTGCTACTCTGAAACTAGTGAGTTAGACTCTTCCCTCTTTTAAATCCTGCCTCCAGGCTTGGCACCTCTCACAGGTGTAACAGCACAGGGCTGACGGAGCCAACAGGCTCTCATCAACTCCTTCCGAGCCTGGAGCAGCTGTCAGTAGGGGACACCAGCAGAGAAGACCCTGCTGCACAAGCTCAGCTATGAGCATGCTGGTGGTGAGTTACCCTTCTGGGTAATGTGTGTCTCAATGCTGTTAGAAAAAATATCAGGTTTCACAGTCCCAATATATGGGTCATTTTTTAAAATGAAATATGGTGGTGGGGAGGAAGGGAACTACTACAGTGTGTGGTGGAAGAGTGGATTTTAATAAAGACTATAGCTTATATTTGGGGGTGAGTTTTTTCACTTTTAAATTTTTGCTGCCTCCAATTTAAGCTTGGTTTAATAACATGTTATAATAGAAAAGTTCCACAGCCAAAGAAAATTGGCTATGCTGTACAAGCTACAAAAAACCTGGCCCTTTAAACCCAGTGAAAATGCCCGCAAACAGCTGTAATTTCCATCTTTTACCCCCCCCTCCAAAAAATCCCCCAAATTCCTGATGAAACTCTGTCTGTTCCTCTCAATTACTGTACACTCCAAGTAAAAAGATTTAAAAAGCCAGAGTTAAATGCAGCTGCAGGTAAGGGACATTGTAAACACACAGGTGGCAGGCCCTCTACACAGAGGAAGAAAACACTGCTAACACTGCAGAGAAGTTGCTTAGGAATAACTGCAGAACAAAAGGTGCTGTTAGAGCAGAGAAGCTGGAAGGTCTGTGGAGCAGGGAGAAGTGGAAAAGGCAGTGGGAGGTCTCAGGGAGGCTGAGGCAGATCATGTAGAAGATGTGCAAAAAATTCTCAGACAGCATGAGTGGAAAAACTCATGCTTGAAAGTTTTTTGCAAAATTGTTTAACCTGCAAATTTTTGCTATTGCAAAAGCAGGTTCCTCACAACAAATGTGTTTTTCCCCCACCCCCAAGTGAGTGCAAGTCTAACTCTGTTTCCTTGTATATACTACTCTGCTAGGCGGGAGTGGATGGTCTTGTGCTTAAAGCATTGCCCTGGGATTCAGGGGCATGATGACACCCCACCCACTACAACAGAGGCTTCAAGGGGTCCTCAGAAGGCAGCTTTATGACTGTCATTCACAGTGCCAGAGACAGGGGAATCGTCCCTCAGCTGAACCAAGGCTTTTTGGACCCATTTATGCTCTTTTACATAGTGTAAAGTGGCCAGCGTGGGAGTGAGGATCTCGCCCAAGAAATGTGTGTTCAGTTCTTGGTTCTACCACAGAATTGCTATGTAACCTTTGGCAAATCACTTAATCTCTCTCCCCCATTTGTAAAAGGGGGCATAATAATACTTCCTTTCTCCCACCCTTTGCCTGTTTTGTCTATTTACATTGTAAACTCTGTACTATGAGGTTGTGCAGTGGGGCCCTGATCTTGGCTGGGGCTTTGAGGCACTATTGTAATACAAACTAATATATTTTTGCTCCAAGATAATTATTTTACACTGTAACAACCTTACATCTATAGGATAGCCTTTACTTACTGTACCTTGAGTAATTTCTGAAACATTGAATACGTATGATGGGCTATTGAAGACTGGGAAGAACTCATTCATTGGAGTTATTTTGATGTAAATGTAGATATTATCTGGAAACATAATGGAAGATTAACTAATGGTTAAATATGGCTATGAAAACATGTGTTGAACATAAATGTATTTTGAATAACATTCCTCCTGCTATGCAGTAACAGCATAGGAAAAAAATCTCAAAGAAGAATAAAAGGGATACTTGCTAGTATAGTAAGGCTGGGCAATATCTTGCACCACAGCTGTCAAAGTATATTCCTCAACTGCTAGATTATCTGGATTTTCGAAATCCAGATCTCCAATCAACTAGATTTAAAAAGAGAAAACTGTATTTATACCTCGTTACATAAAGTCACAACACACACCAAGCAAATGATGATTTCCAGTGTTCTGTCAATGTGCTGGCTAAATACATATACCACTGCCCTCTTTGAATTATACAAGCAATTAATAAATTACAGGACTGAATACACTCTCTGGTGTCTAGCTGTAATTCCTAACTCCATTACAGCCAAGAAGATTCATTCTCCTTTAGCTAAACTTGTAGGGGCCCTGTGTTACATGTAGCAAAAGTCTTGATCTTTTTATCTTTGAGTTCAAAGCGTGTGTAATATGAGTGTAACAAGTCCCTTATCTCATGGTTGATCCATAAAGAGGAAAAGAACCTACTACTACCAACAAATAATGTTGATCCTTCTGATCAGAGGTTCTCAACCAGGGGTCTGGGGGCCCCTGGGGGGCCATGAGCAGGTTTCAGGGGGTCCTCCAAAATAAACCAGAGAGCAAGGCCATCATTGGACTCACTGGGACCCAGGGCAGAAAGCCAAAGCCCAAGCAACTTAGCTTTGCAGGGCCCCAGGCAATTGCCCTGCTTGCTACCCCCTAATGCCAGCCCTGGTTTTTAATCTACAGTACTGGATATGCAGAAAAACACTTGCTGTAGCACTGGTGGGCCATGGAGTTTTTATAGCGTGTTGGGGGAGTCTCAAAGAAAAAGGTTAAGAACCCTTGCTTTAGATAACATAAGAACGGCCATACCGGGTCAGACCAAAGGTCCATCTAGCCCAGTATCCTGTCTATCGACAGTGGCCAATGCCAGGTGCCCCAGAGGGAGTGAACCTAACAGGCAATGATCAAGTGATCTCTCTCCTGCCATCCATCTCCACCCTCTGACAAACAGAGGCTAGGGACACCACTCCTTACACATCCTGGCTAATAGCCATTAATGGACTTAACCTCCATGAATTTATCTAGTTCTCTTTTAAACCCTGTTATAGTCCTAGCCTTCACAACCTCCTCAGGTAAGGAGTTCCACAGGTTCACTGTGCACTGTGTGAAGAAAAACTTCCTTTTATTTGTTTTAAACCTGCTGCCTATTAATTTCATTTGGTGACCCCTAGTTCTTGTATTATGGGAATAAGTAAATAACTTTTCCTTATCTACTTTCTCCACATGACTCATGATTTTATATACCTCTATCATATCCCCCCTTAGTCTCCCCTTTTCCAAGCTGAAGTGTTCTAGCCTCTTTAATCTCTCCTCATATGGGACCCGTTCCAAACCCCTAATCATTTTAGTTGCCCTTCTCTGAACCTTTTTTAGTGCCAGTATAGCTTTTTTGAGATGAGGAGACCACAGCTGGACGCAGTGTTCGAGATGTGGGCGTACCATCGATTTATATAAGAACAATAATATATTCTCAGTCTTATTCTCTAAATCTCTAGATCATGGTGTGTAGGCCTATGCCAAAGGTCTCAGGTTCAGTCACTGATGATAATCCCTGGGGAGAGTCGTTACAAAGTGGTTGCCCAAATGGGGAATTAAAACCCAGTCTCTTGCATTGTGCCATACTTTGTAGCACCCTCACTGGGTTGTCAGCACTAAAGCTCAAGTCTCTACCATTTGAGTTAAAATAGTAACTCCTTCAGCCGGTAGCAGTACTAGGTTCTTATCCTCTATGGAATAACCAATGGAGGGGAAATGGCACATTTAGCCAGCACGTTACATTATACAGCCAGTGTGAGCAGAAGAGATTAGGACTATAAATTCCTGTGTTGTCATGCAAATGTTTCTTAGCCTTGATGAGGAAGTAGTTTGCGGTACATCACCATCCATCATGCTTCTGCAATGTTCTTTTGAATGGTATATCTAGGTGCTTGCTGGTTGGTGTATTGCACAGTTTTTATCCACAAAACAACCAACATTACACATGCCAAGCAACTGGATAGAGTTCTTGTAACTGCAGATCTGATATCAGCACAAGGAATCCATTGTTCTGTCATGTGAAATAAACAAGTGCAATTCCCAAGGTGCATTTGTATGAACTGATCACCTTGAGTAGCGCTACAGTTCTTACCAGTGGAGTCAGGAGGCGGTTTTGAGTTTGGGGCTTCTCGGGTATGTCAGTCTTTCTTCTGAATAGCCAAGATCTCATGTAGTATGTTACAAACACTTGTGTGAATTGGGATTAGCCTGGCACTGTTTAAATTGCTGGGACCTGCCCCTGGTTGCTTCTGTTATGCCTCCATATCAATGTTAAACAGGAATGAGTTTCAAAGCACTATCTTGACATTCATTATGTGCCCCCACACTCCTTAGAAAGGAGATTTCAAACAAGTCTATGGCTTTGGGTTTTTCCCCCCAGTTTTAACCATTCTTTCAGATTTTAGAACAAAGAGCAATTGTGCATCATGATCTCTAGACTCCATAGAGAACATTCTCACCAAAAAAAAATCATGCACGCATTTCATCAACAGTTTCACCCTAGCCCAATGTGAATAACAATTTTTCCTGAAAGGATAATGAATGTAGAGCATTGGAAGATACCTTAATTAGATTTAACAAACTGCCACCTTAATTGAGACTTCCTAAAACAAAACAATTAACTAACCACAATTCTTCCCGAGCCAGATGGATTCAGTGTAAATTTGTTACTTCCAAGTCCAGACAATCCAGTGAAGTTAAATTCATTATTTGGTGGTTCAACATCTATATCCTGGCAGTGATCTCGCAGGTCAAGGAGAAGTGTCCCAGTGGTGGCTGTTTCATATACCTCAAGTCTGTCAAAAAGAAATACGTTTCCCATCATGCCTCTTTACAACATTCCTCTTAACAGCTTTTGAAGTGTACTGCATATTGACTTCCACATACTTTTCAAACGAAAATCCCAGATTCCAACACCCCAAACTTTAGGAGCAGAGCTGAAATCTGATCTGTATTTTGTGGCTAACCCCTTTCTCTCTCTAATGGGCTGAACCAAAACCCTTAGACAGAACCCAAACCAAATGCTTGGAACACCTCTTAACTTTGAAACTAGCATCAGGATCTTAGTTTGATCCACCTCTAATTTTAAATGAGTCTCTTTTAAAAATCTGTGTTTCAGTACTCTGTCTACATGCTGCAATATGCTACTTCATTTGCCCCTTAATTGATACTTGGCCTCGGTTTTTCTTCACTGAACAAAATACTTAAATATATGCTTAATTTTACTCATGTGAGTAGCCCCATTGAAGTTGCTGTGGGACCAAAATCAATGAGACTACATGCATGCTTAAAGTATATGTTTGTGCTTTGTTGGATCAGGGCCTATGAGGGCATAAGGTTACTTTCAAATACTGAAATTAGTTGTTATTCTTTATCTTAGAACAGCGTGTGATATATTTCCAACTAAACTATTTACAGTAACCCATGATCTGTCAGCTGAATCTGATATACCTCAATCAAAGCAATTCTCATTCATCACATCAGTTTTGCAGAACTGAAGAGTCCTTTCCTCCATGAATGGAATAGTAGACAACCATAAAGTTGGAGTGAGTTTCAGATGTTCTGTTGTGGTGACTGTCATCTTGACAATGCCATCTTCTATTGATGAAAGGCTCGGATACCCATATTATAATGCAATGTCAAGAACCTGATCCACAATGATTTTACAGCTTTCTGCAATTCTATTTCCCACAGTATCTCCTCCATCTCCCTACTTCCTTATTGCTTGCAGGGATGGGGTGGAATCATGACAGCTCCAGTCACTTCAGTCAATACTCCTTGAGCAGCCTTGTATATGTCAGGCAAGATGGGAATAGCTTTTGCTTTGTCTGAGACATAGATGCATGGGGATTTATTTACAGGATGTGGGGCTCTATCCTGAGAAGCAGGGACCTTGAAAAAGACTTTGGGGTTATGGTGGATAATAACTGAACATGAGCTCCCAGTGTAATGCTATGGCTAAAAGAGTTAATGTGATCCTTGGATGCACAAACAGGGGAATCTTGAGCAGGAGTAGGGTCAACCTCTATATTTGGCACTGGTATGACCACTACTGAACACTGTGTCCAGTTCTGGTGTCCACAATTCAAGAAGGATGTTGATAAATTGGGGAGGGTGCAGAGAAAAGACATGTGAATGATAAAAGGATTAGAAAACATGCCTTATAGTGATAAATACAAGGAGCTCAATCTATTTAGCTTAACAAAGGGAAGGTTAAGGATGACTTGATCGTGGTAAGTAAGTAACTACATGGGAAACAAATATTTGATAATAGGTCCTTCAATCCAATGGCTGGAAGTTGAAGTTAGACAAATTCAGACTGGAAATAAGGTATAATGTTTAATCAAAGTAATTAACCATTGGAGTAGTTTACCAAGGGTCAGGGTGGATTCTTCATCACTGACAATTTTTAAATCAAGATTGGATGTTTTTCTAAAGGACCTGCTCTAGTTCAAACAGGAATTATTTCAAGGAAGTTCTATGGCCTATGTTACGTAGGAGGTTGGACTAGATGATCAAATGAGTCGCTTCTGGCCTTAGAATCAATGAAAAATGTCCCAAAGAGCTACAGGTTAAGGATCATGATGTTTAAAAACACAGGAGAAGAAGGTTCCTCATAACTACAGGATTTCTTCCTAACTGGGTGCTTCGTGACATTCTTGGAACCTCAAGTAGATTGTTCAGATCAATTTAATAATTTCTCAATTTAGAGAGAAACACTTTCCTGTCACTAAACTATCAATATGCTTTAATTAGAGAGCTATTCTCTCATTTCCTGATGAATAAATATCTAGGAGTTCAATCTAGTCAGAAGTGACTGTTTTAAAGTGAGTTTCTTGCCTATCACTCTGATTCTGTTATTTTTAAAAACTGCAGCAGATTTTAATAAAAACAAAGTGCTTAGGGCTCAATCCTGCTCTCAGTTACACCAATTGACTTCAGAGGTGTCACTCTTGAATTAAATTGAGTTAGACTGATATAAAACTGGATGTGAGATCAGAACCAGGCCCTGGGATCCAACTCTGTAGTCCTTGTGCAATCACAGATCCCATTGACCATCGCTGGAGTTTTACAAATAGACGGGTTACAGGACTGGGTCTTTTAAATGTGAATTGAAAAGATTTGACAAAAAATACATCCAATGGGCCTTACAACTGGAGCTGTGTGAATAACTGATTTTTTGGTTTCCTGGCAGTTCTGAAAAATCGTGGAATAAAATTCAGTTTGTATCATAGTGAAAAATTTCAGCAAATCAAAAATTTTAGTGGCTGGGGGGGTCCTACATCTCAATGAGTACCCTAATCACTGGGCTAAAGATTACAAGGGAGCTTCCTCCTCCTACAGCAGTTTTGTGAATGATGCCAAAACCTTGTGAATCCAGCTCTCCTCCCTCCTCCCAATTTTTTTAATTAAAACTGGCAAATTCTTGTCCAATGCATGAATAGTTTCATGTTGATGAAAGAAGCATTTTTAGGGGGCAAATAAACAGTGTGAAAAATTTCTCCCAGCTCTATTGACAACAGCACAAAAATGGAATAACACCATGGTCAGCCCCATGAACTGTGAAAGATTCTAAATCCTGCATGACACAATCCCACCTATCCCCCCTCATCACCCACATGCAGTATGAATGGTAGACGTCCAGGAGAAAATAGCAGGACTGATGGTAATTTATAGTGCTTGCAACTGCACACCAAACATGTATAATGGCAGAGTGGTCTATGCCCTGAAGAGTTTGCAGGCCAAGAACATGAAGATAGCAGACAAAGAAAGGGAGTTGGGAAAGGAGAGGGAAAAGGTTAAAATTAATAACAGCCAGAAGGGTCTGAAAGTCAACCGCTTAGAATGATCCCATTTAATAAATTCTAATGAAATGAGAGGGGTGAAAAGTCTGCCCCTGTTCTGGACAGAAATGATGCTATTTTTAATTATATACAGTCTATGGCCCCTCGATGCTGTGGTGATTGGCATCTGAATGGGAGAAAGAGATAAATAAAACCCTGATTTGGCACAGATGTTTTGGACTCAATTTTCAAACCTGAACCAACAGGATGTTTGAGCCCTGCATCTTAAGACACACAGTCAGCACTTACCAGTAGGAGCCAATAGGGACTGCCCATTTGAACACACACATGCAGGATCTAGGTGCCTAACTAGGGTGCCCTACATCAAATACTGGCCCCATCATATTGGTGAGAGACATTGTGAGTGGCTTAGTACCTGAAGTTGTACAAGCTACATTCTGGTGGGTTGTCATTGAGATCTTCAATAATGACTGTTATCTCTATTTCATTTGTTTGCCCACCACTGGGATTGTCCTCCACACGAATGACCAATGAGATGTTAGGCTGTAGCCGTAGGGGAGCAGCATCTCGATCTATTCGCATAGCCACGTAAATCACACCAGTGACTAAGAGGAAAGGAATGAGGGGTTAGATACTCACCACTGGAAAGGAAATGACAAGAATTCATATTTAAATATATTGTTCTCCTCAAGGACTTGATGGCTCAGGGAACTGGTGGTAAATATAGAGCCTTCCCTACCTCCACATCACAGCTGTTTGTTTAGTGATCTGAAATAAACTGATGCATTTTATCTAACCCTTAGCAGATATGTGTCCACAGCACAAAAATACCATGATGGCTGACAGCCTCAGCAGAGAGGCCAATAACTGACCAGGCATGGAGACTGACCTACCTTCTCACCCCTAGTAGGGGTCTTTGTAAGTCAGGGCTGAGGTACATTGGCAGAGTAGTGTTGGGAAGTGTGCACTGCTAATGTTCATGCTGTCCCTGCTCTGTGGCTAAAGACAGAACTTCATTTTCTAGTGCTCTCAAGGCAGCTCTAGATCTACGTATAGTAAGAATCATTCTCAACTATGACGTAGTGTGTCAAGTTCTGTCTTCACTCATTCACTTCTTGGTTATATACCCTTTCATCTGCCATTGTTCAAACAGGCTAACATGTCAGCCATGTATTACTATAGGCAAAGAGCCAGAAGAGGGTGACAGAATGTGTTTATACATTGTCTGTGTTTCTTAGTGTACTAATGGGGAGTGTAGCACTTTAAGCCCAAAAGGCACAGGGAAGCCAAAGCATTTAGAAAGAAGAAAAAGAGTCACTGAGCCTGATTCTACACTGCCCTGTGCTTTGTGTAGTCATTTACAACTGTGCCAATCTGACTGAAAGTGCTACCAGTTCAGAAGTGTAACATTCACTGACAGCTATAAATGACTCGAGGAGAACCCGGTGTGCATGGACAGAAGGCGAATAGGGTGCAGACGTGTTTCTCTCCTGTTATATGAGCTCGTCAAGTCTTCTGAGATGTCTCACCTGGGGGAAATAATGGATTTGAATTACAGGGGTTCTGTAGGTCTTATCCTGGGAGGGGATTCAGCCTGCACCATGAAGGACATTAAAGTCCTGGTCCTGGCCCCCTGATCTGACCATTTTGTGTTGCTCTCATGGTTCAAAGAGGCATAAAACTGCCCTAAGAAGGCAACTGAGGAGTCCTCTCGCCTAGAGGAATCCCAGGCTGGCATAAAGGTCTACATCACTCCCTCCCAGCCCACCTCTGGCAAAGTACGCATGTTGCAGGCAGGACCGAAGGTGGCTGGAGTGTGCCCTGAAAATCTCCAGCTGGCGCAGCAGCCCATCAGGGAATTTTGCAGCCAACGCAGATTAGGAAAACGGTGAGGCTACACTAATTTATTCTGGAGATGCCGGAGGGAACAGCCCTCAGGATCAGATGAGTTTAAGCCACTTTTGCCCCCACCCCCCACCCCTTCCACTTCCATGTTGAGCGCAGCTCAGCCAGACCCAAGGACCTGGCCCTAAGAATGTATTAACCCGATATAAAGTATGCTGCTTCTTCATAAGGGCAGTGACAGAAGGAAATAAAATAACTTAAAACTGGAGCCAAAGGAGTTTCTCAAACCTGGATTGTTTCTTTTCTTGTACCAAAAGGCACAGATAGATTGAAGGACATATAGTATTTTTGTTTGTCTTACATGGATTTATGGAGAAATGCATATTAGGTGGACTGATGCTGTAGACAAGTGTGCTGATAATGCCTTCACCATCTGGATCTTTAGCTGTTATATTGGCAACAACAGTTCCTGGGCTGTTTTCCTCTGGAATCCTGTAGACTCTCTCTTTCCTAGAGTAGACAAAGAAGTTCAACAGAGGCAAATAAATGTTCCCCCAGGCTCCTTTCCTAAGTGTCAATATTGCTTGACAATCATAGAATTGTAGATATCGGAAATAGAAGAGACCTGTTAGATCATCCAATCCATCTCCTGCAAATGGATTAGCTGTTTTCATTCCATCCACATGCAGGTTAAAAAATAAAAATAGCGGTAGCAGTATAAGGAATCTTGCTATGGAATAAACACAGTTACTGCTTCCAGGACAATATTATTTTAAAGAGCTTGTCTCAGTGGTGCAATAAACTTTTTAAATGACAGGGTCTGCTTTCCCCTGACTGAGCATGCCCAGAACTCCAGGCAACAATTGATTCACTTTATTTATAAAACTAGCTCAATATATTCACCCTGGTAGGGCTTGATTTCTCCTGAATGAGTTTATGGCCCAGGCATTGTTTTACATGCAAATTTGCATGGTTATTTGTGATTATTGCAGCTGCATGTACAAATGAGTATTCTGATGTGCAATTGCAGTTATTGCATGTGCAAAAGTAGGCATAGCAGAGCACCTAAGTCGGGGCTGCAAGGAAGCACTTATCTCTGCTTGTGCTCTATTCAATTATTTATCCAAAATGGAACAGCGTCAACAGAAGAGATTGATGGAGCCACACATCAAAATATCCCATACCTCAGTGTTTAGAGCACTCTCCTGAGAGATGTGGCAGACCTGTGTTCAAATCCTTTCCCACCACTCAGGCAGAGGGGGGAACTGAGCCTGGGTCTCCCCCATCTCAGGTGAGTGCTCTAACAAAGTGGTTCTCAAAGCCGGTCCGCCGCTTGTTCAGGGAAAGCCCCTGGCGGGCTGGCCGGTTTGTTTACCTGCCACGTCCGTAGGTTCGGCTGATTGCGGCTCCCACTGGCCGCGGTTCTCCGCTCCAGGCCAATGGGGGCTGCAGGAAGCGGCGCGGGCCGAGGGATGTGCTGGCCACCCTTCCTGAACAGGGGGCTTATGCATTGCAGTGGACCCTAAAATTGAGACTTAGGGCCCAGATTCATAAAGATATTTAGGCTCCTAACTTCCAGTTAAATCAATGGAAGTAAGGAGTCTAAGTACCTTTGTGGATCTGGACCATAGACCTTATTTTGACCTTCTGCAAAGGGGTGAGTTTCAGACAGTGTATGTCTTCATGCTTGACTTAGCATCAAACACGAGCTTTGAAAATTAACTGTAATAACATATACAAGGATAATGGAAAGAAACTGATCAAAGCGTCCAACAAGAGACTAAGAAGTCAAACCAAAATGAAAATAAATAGTTATTATAATAGTTATTAATGTTTGCCAGAAGCTGGGAATGGGTGACAGAGAATGGATCACTTGATGATTGTCCTGTTCTGTTCATTCTCTCTGAAACACCTGGCATTGGCCACTGTCGGAAGACAAGATACTGGGCTGGAAGGACCATTGGTCTGACCCAGTATGGCCGTTCTTATGTATTATCATTAGTTTATTATTATTTGTTTGATTGTGGCACCTCAGAACCCCAGTCATGGAGCAGGACCCCATTGTGATAGGCTCTGAACAAAAAGATAGTCCCTGCCCCAAATAGCTTACAATCTAAGTTTAAGAAAGATGGATATAGCAACAATGAGACATTGTATCAGTTAATGGCTATATTACAGAGTCTCCCAAAAGGTTGAACCAATGGATGCTGGGGCTGAAAAGTCTGAGAACCGTTTGTATTTTTAGGGTACAAAGTGAATGTTTCACTTACGTGGTAAAGTAAGGTGGTTCGTCATTGGTGTTAATGATGTTGACTATCACTGTCCTGGTAGTGCTCAGCCCTAGGCGGTCTGTCACTGTTATGTTTAACAAATAACTGTTAAATATAAAAACAAAATCAAACCAGAATCACTCCGTGGATTATATGCAGTAGGTCTCTGTTAACAATGAACAACGAGAATGATCAGCGGATCAAAATGAATACTTACGTATGTGGATCTCTCTCAAAATCAAATTCTTTTGTGGAAGAAATGGTTCCAGTTTGAGAGACAGTGAATGACTCTGACACAGGAGTACACGAATACTGGAATAAAAGGATTATGAATTAGCATCTTTATCTTTTTAAAACATCCAGCCATTCATTCACGGGCTTAAAGAATGGATCAAGGAAACATATGCCCCACATTTACAGTATTGCCCCAGAACTCTGTGTAAGGAGATGTACAGGCATCATGGTCATCAGCAGGATCAAACCCAGGACATTCATCACCAGAAACACAAGCCACTGTCACTTGAGCTATAGAAGTAAGTCTGCTGGTAAACAGCATGCAGGGCATGACAGTGGTTCCCATTAGAAAGAGACATGGTCACACACCCCAAGCTAGTCATTGTGTCACATTTGCACCAGATCGATTGTTGGCCTCTCTGGCCTTCTGGTACTCCTGCCATAGCTCCTTGGCTTTCACATGGCACTGCTGCTGGTCCCTGTTGTAGCCCTTCTCCTGCATCTGCTGAGCAACCTACTCATAGACCTACTCATAGATATCCACATTTCTGTGGCTGGTTCAGAGTTGTGCCTGCACAGCCTCTTCTCCCCAGAGACCCAGGAAATCCACCACCTCCTGTCTCCTCCAGGCAGGAGCACGCCTGGGGTGTGTAGCCAGCATGGTCACTTGGGCAGTTGCACTCAACAGTGGAGAGCTGCTAGGTGTGCTCGCCAAGCCAGGCAATCAGAAAAAGGAATTTCAGAAATTCATGGGGCTTCCCGTCTACCTGACCCAGGGCAGCGGAGTTCACAACAGTGACCAGAGCGGTCACTGAGGGACATTATGAGACAGCTGCTGGTGGCCAGTAATGGTTGACATAAGTAACAGAGTGTCTACACTCACACTGGATCAACCTAACTACGTTGACCCTGACTCTATGTTGCTTGGGGAGATGGTGTTATTAAATCAGTGTAGTGGGGCACTTCAGTCATCAGGAGCCAAATTTAAGTGGAGACACATCCACAACTAGGTTAATGTAAGGTGCCTTGAGTCAACCTAACTGTGTTGATTTAGTTGGGGATTGGTGATTTGGTTGGGGATTGGTCCTGCTTTGAGCAGGGGGTTGGACTAGATGACCTCCTGAGGTCCCTTCCAACCCTGATATTCTATGTGTAGTGTAGATCAGGCCTAACTTAACAAGTGATATTCTAGAACATACAGAATCAAATAATGATAAGCCAGGTGATCAGTAAAGTCTTCTTAAAAATTCTACAGCCTGCTCAGCTCGTGCTACTCCTCTTGTGTTACTTCTTGGGCTTGTCTACACTTACATTATATAGCGCTCTAACTTGCAGGCTCAGGGGTGTGAAAAATCACACACACACACACACACACACCCCGAGCGCAGCAAGTTTGACCGCTGTAAAGTGCTAGTGTGGACAGGCTCAGAGGGCTGGGAGTACGGCTCCCAGCACTCTGAGCTATTCCCCCCCGTGGAGGTGGCGCTCTCTCCCAGCACTCTCCCGCGACCACACTCGCACATAAAAGCGCTGCCGCAGGAGCGCTCCCGCGGAAGTGCTTTGAACTCTCTAGTGTAGACTTAGCCATGTGACAAATAGAAATGAAATAGAACCGAGTGTAACCATAACTCATCTCCTTTTGTGATATGTTTAACTGAAGTTGCTGAAAAAGCAGCTGAGTAATCAAATCAATTAAGCTAACAAATTCTTGTCAATGGACCACTCTAGTTTTCCTGCTGGGAGTATTATTGTATCAGCAGTCCATCATTTCTGCATTTGCATCTCCTTATTATGGCTGGGATTTATCACCGGTTCAAAGACTGTTGCTGATGAAGAATTCACTGCAGTTATTTTTTTCTTTCATTGGCAATAATAATTAACCTAGAGCTAAATCCTGAGGCCTTTACACCTTTTCTTATTCAGTCAAACCCACATTGACTTCAGTGGGAGTTGCCTGAGAAAAGACTGAGTAAGGAGGTCAAGAAAGCAGCTCCTACGATTTAATTGCTCTTTTGAGTAATGCTACAGGCTGAAGTAACACCTGAAATGTCTGTTTGTGATAATGTTGTATCTTTCACCAGTTTCTCAGGTAAATGCAATTACCCTTTCCAGATCTGCAAAAAGTGACTTTTCAGACATTCCTGCTGATACCCAGAACCTTTTCATATCAGCTAGTGCCATTTTTTAAAGCTGTTGGCCACAAATCACACTGTTTTGCTTTCCAGATAGCTAAATGCTGACGTTTCATTGCATGAAAAGTTATTTCCCCAATGTTTCATTTAAAAGAAACTTCATTGTAACAAAAGATTAAAAGCCCCATTTAACCCTTACTCAGTAAAGGGGTTTTAGAGACAGTTTGTAAGAAAGACCCCGTTACCTGCTATATCTATGATGGGCCATATCAAAACTCTGTCTCCAAACTCTAACTTCGGGGTGTTCAAAATGTATAACCCACTCCATACCCCAGTGGTGAGGGATAGGCGCCTTCTTATCAAAAATAACTTTCTGCTGTTCTACTTTATTATTTAAAATGTTTCATTTCAGCTGACAATATACCTTTTTCTATATGCTTGATTAGTGAGCTCAGAGGAGAAAGTTCCTGGAATTCATTATATTTCAGATGCAGTGGATTGCATTGTCTCTTTTTTCCTTTAATTAAACTTACTGTGAGTTGTGACTGTTCGGGATCAGATGCATCAATCTGGTAAATAACTCCAGGAGGCGTTCTATTTCCCTCCAAGATATAAATCATTACAGCTGGATGAATAAAAATATAGTCGATGTTAATTTTATATTTAAAAAGGACACAGCTATACGGACTATATCAGAACACCTGATGCTTGTACTCACTCTACAACTCAGTCTAATTCCAAAATAAACAAAATACCCAAACACACACCAAAACAACACACAGCTGGGGCAAAAGAACATGCCCCCATGCTGTAAATAGACAACCATCAATATTTGCGATTGTGAACCGTACATCACTGACAGACAGAGCCCCACATAAATCATATCTTGAACTGGTCATTGGTAAATGGCCTGGGCTAGCCTGAATTTTTATGTTGTTGAGGGATTGTGACTAGTGCCACCCACCTGCCTCACTGGATGGGAAACCTGAGGGGGCCAGCAGCAATTGGGATAGGCCCAGTTGAATGTGGGAAGAGACCATGTGCTGAGAGGATGCAGGGCTGCCCCTCCCCTTCAAAGTCTCTAGTCACTGGTTGGCAAGCTTGGGGCGGAAGGGATCTGATTGGTCCCTCACTCTCTCCTTTCATTAATTTAAACCCTAGCTTGGGCCTTGTAAGGCCTCTTGCTTTTTGCTCCATTCTAGCAGCCTCACCCTCTCCTCCTTGTACTAGCAGCCGTGAAACTGTGTTTTGTGGTTGCTGTAGCTCTGATTAAAGAGCAGGAGTACTTGTGGCTGATTGTTTGCCTGTTCTGGGGTCAGGAATGAATTTTTTTCTTCCTGTAGGGGCCAAACTGGCAGAGGGCTGGGGAGGTTTTTGCCTTCCTTGCAGCATCCCAGAGGTACAATTAAGTTAAATAAGAGCAGAGTTTAATAATTAATACTCAATAAGGATGTTATTTCATCACAACTTTCGAGTGTGGTTAAAAGGATAAAAGGAATGGTTCACAGAAGTAAAAGACCTGGGATTTTACTGGTGGGCCTTGGGTTCATGGGATAGGGGGAGACCCTGAGGCCTTCGTGGTCTGAGGTCCCCCCCCCCTTTTATTACCCTTGGTCCCCCTTGGGGACAGGAGTAGGACTCAGAATAGCAAGCTGAGTCCTAGAGGTAAGATGAAGAGAGTCTACCTGAGTTGTGGGTTATTGGGTAGGGAATCCCTTAACCCCCACATTGGAGCCACTTAAAATGCCTGGTAGGTGAGAGTATGGCTAACAGGGTAGATAGCACTCTGTCCATGTGTTAAATGTAATAAAGTTGTGGCCTGCTGCTTTAAAATCCATCCCTGTGTTTGTCCTTTTTCTTCGCTGTGTCTACATCAATTCAGTTCATATCATGAACTGCTAGGACTAGAATCTCATGTGCCACATCACTGGAAACATGGGAATCCCAGCTTTCCTAAGTTGTATAGGAATTATTGCTAGCATGGGTGGTTAATGAGTAAGGGACCTTTAAATCATTATTTACTGTAGACTTTTCCATGTCTGCTATGTCCTGTGCTTATAGAACATTAATCTGTCCCATGACCATGACTGGCTGCTCGTGCCCTAAGTAGCAGCAGTAATCCCCAAACAGAATGAGGATTCCTAGATGGCAGTGATATGAATATAAAGTTTAATGAAAAACAGACACATTTTAACAACCAGTGAATGTGCCATCAGTGTTAACTGTAGCTGGTATTGTTAACTAACCCCACCCAGTTAGACAATTCATATGTCTGTGTTCACTGATTTACTGCAGTGCTAGCTGAGTGTTAAACTGATACATTTATTTTTAACAAGCTCCTAAGTACAGCGTGTTTCATGCTGTGCCCATCCCCTGAAGTGTCATTATGTCAAATCTAATTATTATTTTTTATAGTCGCACCCACAATGTGCTAGGCACTGTCCATGCTCAGAAGACCCAGGCCCTTCTCCAAGGAGTTTATTTTGCCTCTCGTACAAAGTATAGTATAGAAGCAAGAACGCCAGGGATGCTTAAATGTTATTTGTTAAATTGGCTGTTTTTCAACTAGAAATGGGCCTGAACCAAAACCTGCACTGGCTTTTAATCCTTAACCTTGGCAGGGATCAGTATTTAAACTTAGATCCAAACTTCATCCCTGGCCTCTGCCAGTGAGCCAAAACCCTGAAATAACATTGCCATCCTCCTAGCTATTGAGGTGTTCCTAAGCCAGAGCTGGATCCATATTTTGTACTGGCCCATCTGTACTTTTGGATAGGAAAAAAAATATCTTTGAATGTTTAATAATTCATTGCTGTTCTATACAAAAACACCCACAGTGTTAGAACACTGAAGTTTCAAACTGAAATTCTCAAAAGTCAGGAAGTGACAAAATTATGATTTCTCTTGTAACCTTAATTCTGCCCCTTTGTATGTGCATATGTTATACAGCCTTCAGTTACATGATGTCATGGTATAAGTTCTGCAGGTCCCCTCATTACTGAGTGAGCTAAATGGGTGCTCAATGAGCCAGACAGCTGTTTGATATTTACTTTTATCCTCTTTGAGATGTGGGGCCATGTACTGAACATACACTGCTCTCCTTCCAAACCCCACCCTGAATGAGGAAGGGATTCTGTGAACTCCAGCCTCATTCTCAACACCCTGACCAATTGCTGCAGCGAATGAAGCAGAGGTGCTCCAAGTTCCCGCACATTGCACCCCTTACACAGATGGGCCAATATCACCGATCACATGGAGGTAGTATTTTTTGGAACACTGCCTCTTTCCTTATGCACTATCACAGATCATAATCCCCATGACCTTACATTTAAAATTGATTTCCCACTTAAATTTCTCTCACACAGATGCAAATTCACTGTACTGCTGTGCAACACTGACTGAGCACTAGCTTTATTGTCTTTCAGAAACTCTTGCACATGCATAAAGTACATTTATTTAAACCTTTGTTGCTTCTCCAAATCCAATTCAGTTTTCAACAAGGCATTAAACAGTACGTCCATAACCAAGTGACTATGCCTGGTTCCATAAAAGGCTGTCGAGACACTCAGCATCACAATGCCTAACTTTTAGGTGCCTAGAAAACACAGGAACAACACTTCAATCTGAAAGGCCTGGGTTAGCCACTAGGCTCCTATATGAGGAGAGAGATAGGTGCCTTAGAATGTGATCCACAAAAGCCAACGGGCTAGGTGGGATCTGCCTAAGCTAGCCAATGGGAGATGCTGATGCGGGGGTTGTGTCGTAAGCTACACACCCCCAGGTCAGATTTCCATACCTAAATCCAGGCTGCTAGGAGGTGCCTATCTTTGCTTGTGATTCACAAACTGGGAGAAGGTGGGTGTTCGGCCGCCTAAGTCACATGCAGGGAACAATCAGAGACTGCCTAAATCCACATACAACAGCCAGGCATGAGCAGGAGAAGGAGCTCCCTTAATATTTAACCCAAGGGTTAGGGTATTTGCCCAGGATGTGGGAGACCGCTAGTTCAAGTGCCTAATGAGGAGAAGGGATTTTAACAGGGATCTGCCACCTCTCAGGGGAGTGCCCTAGCCAGCAGACTATAGAGTCATTCAAACTCTTTTTCTGGCTCAATTAATATTTAATTGTTCAATTATTTAAAATGGAACAAGAGAGATTGAGGGAGACTGCATAGCCTAGGGCACTCACCTGAGAAGCGGCAGATCTCTGTTCAAATCCCTTCTGCTCACAGGCATCAATTTTTCATTTTTCTGGGTGGATGCTCCACCCCCGCTCTGCCCAGAGGCCCCGCCACTTCCCCCAAAACCCCATCCTCGCGCTGCCTGCCCCCATTCCGTCCTCTCCCCCAAGTGCCTTCTGCCCACTGCCAAACAGCTGATCGGCGGGTGGGTGCTGAGCACCCACTATTTTTGTTCCGTGGGTGCTCCAGCCCCGGAGCACCTACGGAGTCGGTGCCTATGCTTCTCCTCACCGTGCAGAGAAAGGACTTGAACTGGGCATTGCCCCCATCTCAGCTCAGAACCCTAACCACTATGGTGAAGGTTATAAGGGAGGGCCTCTTTTCCTGCCCCCACCCCAGCTGTTTTGTGTGGAATTAGGCAACCTCTAATCAGGCCCCACAAATGATTTAGGTGGCCAAACAGTTTGTCTTTCCCCTGATTTGTCAATCACTTTGGGGCTTAGGTGGGAGATTGGCACCCAGATGCGTGGAGGGATGCTGCAGTGTGCATGTTCAGATGCAGAAACTTAGGTGTCAAGAGACTTTAGGTGACTAGAGGGTTAGGCGCAGCCAAGGGGAGTTTTGTGGATTGCAGTGATGCCTAACAATGGATGCGGATGTTTATGTACTTTTATGGATCCCACCCTACCTACCTGTCAAATGGGAAGTCTCTAACAGCTGCCACTGAGGCACTTCAGCTAATCAAAAAAAGCTCATAAATATTTATTGTTAGCAGTAGCACTGTTTTCTTTTCATTCTTTTGGTATTTGAAAATGCCTGACCCGTTTTTAGTGAAAGTCTCGGGGGGAGGGGATAAGTCACTCCTTGAATGAGATCAATCACTGAATTTCATCTGAAAATATAAAACATAGGTGACAACAACGGTGACCCTCCAGAATGGAAATATTTGGCCAATCTTAACTATAAGCATTGCTAGGCATTCTGTCTATAACATTTAGTGATTAAGGTTTAGTCTCCCAATGTTGTAATTTCAAGCATTAGTCTCTTTTGTTACTTCCAAGCAGTTCTCTTACTTTGGTCTGCCAAATTGCCACGAAACACAGGAGGTTCATTAACATCTGTTATTTGGACAGTAAGTATTTGAAGGTCACTTGCCCCAGCTGTATCATTAACATAAATCTGCAAATCAAAGCTGTTTGGCATAGTTTCATAATCTAGAACAGGATCTCCAGTGGTAACAACCTGAAATGTAACAAATTATTAGTAGCACACTATGCAATCAAATCTGTAATTATTGTATATAGGAATCAATACATATAAAAAGGTGCCATGTTGGACTGGTTAAAGACTGAGGGCTACAGGAAGACGCACCAACTGAGGGGGTAGTGCTATAGGCCCCTGTTGGACTATTAAAGACTGAGCCCAGGGAGGGCTGCAGGACATTTTGGACTGTATCCCCCGGAAGGGCTTTGCTTGTTTTGCACATGGAGAGAGTGTGACTTGGCTGGAGGGCTGAGTCACCAAAGCCCCACTTGACAAGCGCAGTGGCTGACAGGGGTCGCCGTGAGCAGAGGAAAAATGGCAGGCATGCACACCCTCGACCAGGGAGCGCTCGTGGGAGGTGGGTGCCACCCTGTCACACAGTCTAAATGAGAATCTAGATGTTTTTAAGCAGATTGGGTCCTGCTTAATAGAAATATACCTTCAATTCACAACAATTAAACATTTTCACTGATTTCATGAACAGTGTGTTAAGCTACATATTCAGCTTTGCTGCTGCTGTTTTTAGATGCCTCTCCAGTGAAGAGGAAGGAGATGCTCGATTGTCTTTACATAGCACGATGGAGAAATACAGCATGTCATATGGAGGTGAGCCTGGACCACACTATGCACCTCTGAGCAGGAACAATTCTACCTCCAACTACCGATTGCTGCTGATAGCAGTATGTGCTCTTGCCAGCTGTGGGCCTGGAGAGGGGGAGACCAGATATACTCTCAGCTATACACTGCTCAAAGCAGGAGACTTGGTGCATGGGCTAGCATGTTCCTGCATAATGTGTGGGGAACCTGCTCTGCTGCTTTTGTTCTGTGATGGAGGGTAGGTAAGAATCTCCCTATGCTTTCCTCCCAGTCTCACACCACTGCAGCAGAGGGCAGTGAAAACAGAGAACAAGTATCATCACACCACCATCAAGGGAGCTTCAGCCAACCGATATAGTTTTCAGTTATTCCAAATGCCCTCTGCTGAATGGGAATATTCCCTTAAGACTAAGGGCTTGTCTGTGCAAATAATACGTGGGCAAGCTGGGGTGTACACTAATCTACACTAGCATGCCACGCATTCAATGTCCTGGGGGACCTGCTGACGCACACTAAAAGCTCAATAGTGCGATTGCGCTTTGACCTAAGCCTAGGTGGGTAATAACGCAGACTACTTTGACTTTAAAAGTGTAGCCTGTAGTGTGGAAAGGAAATCAAGCAGGAATGGTACACATAAAAGGGGTTCATTTATCAATGACTGTGGCCTCCTCAGAAATTCCCAAAAGAATCTCATGGTTTTAGGATTGTTGCAATGGGAAGAAATGTGCTTCACAAAGCAAGGTTCTAATTGTCAGCCCCCATAATTCATGCATGAAAACAGCCTTTCCCCATATCTCAGCAAAGACTCTAATAGTAGAGTGTAGTTCTGGGGCATCTCAATACTAGGAGTTCATTACTTTTACAAAATAAGGTACTAAACGTTCATTAGAATACTACGCAATAGCATAAATAATTAACACTAACTATGCTTGTCAAGTAAATAAGCTAATTACATTTGTGCTGCATCATCCTAGATTTTTAAATCATGTTTGTTCACTTGCCTGCTAGTTTGCAGAATTTAGTAATTCACAATGGAGTCATTGGGACAGATTTTAGGGCACATCTACACTACAGCAGCACAGGTATGGTTCAGCAGTGTAGATGCTTCATACATCTACAGAAGGGGGTTTTCCCTTTAGGGTGAGCAGATAGCAAGTGTGAAAAATCAAGACACTTTTTTTCAGTGGTGGGGGGATATAGCTGCCTATATAAGATAAAGCTCCTAATATCAGGATGTCTGGTCACCCTATTTTCCATCGATGTAGGTAATCCACCTCTTGGAGAGGCAGTAGCTAGGTTGATGGAAGAATTCTTCATTGATCTAGCTGCATCTACCATGAGGATTAGGTCGACCTAACTACATCACAGAGGGTGTGAAAATTTTCACAGCCCTGAGCGATAAAGCTAGGTCAATCTATTTTTTAGGGGTAAACCAGGCCTCAATCTGGCGTTGCTTCACCTTTCTGCTTTGTTAACTTGTTGTCCCTCAGATCCTGCAGCTGATCTGTACTGCCCTCCAGTAAGTTAGGGAACCCTGAGAACTGCTCTAGCTTGTTCCAGCTGTGCTGCTGTGCAGAGCCCCCAAGCAGGGCCAGCTCCAGGCACCAGCGAAGGAAGCAGGTGCCTGGGGCAGCCAATAGAAAGGGGCGGCAGTCCGTCGGTTGTTGGGGCAGCACGTCCGGGTCTGCGGCGGCAATTCAGCGACGGGTCCTTCCTTCCTTCCGCTTCCTCTTCGGTGGCAGCTCCATCGCCCAGCTTCAGTCTTCAGCGGCAATTCGGCAGCCGCTCAATTGGGTTTTTCTTTTTCTTTTTTTTTTTCCTTCACCACTTGGGGCGGCAAAAAAGCTGGAGCCGGCCCTGCCCCTAAGGGCCCTGCCAGTAACTGAGGATATCTGGGGCCCCAGCTATACCTCCCTTCCCCAAACATACCATCTGCATCAGCAGCCAGGAGGGTGGCGAACCATCCCTATGGCAGCTCTATGCTGCCCAAGGATTCCTCAGTACTGAGGGAGCCTTCAAGGAGCTGATGAAACTGGATTCAGCTGTTAAGTGAGGGTACGTCTACACTACGAGATTAATTCGAATTTAGATAATTCGAATTTGGGAAACAGATTGTATAAATTCGATTGTGCGCGGCCACACTAAGCACATTAATTCGGTTTTTAACCACATTAATTCGGTGGTGTGCGGCCACACTACCCCATTAATTTTAACCACAGTAATTCGGTGGTGTGCGGCCACACTACCCCTAATTCGAATTTACAAAATCGATTTTGGTGCTACTCCGCTCGTCGGGGTGGAGTACAGAAATCGATTTTAAGTGCCCTTTAATTCGAAGTAACTGGCTCCGTTGTGTGGACGGGTTAAGGATTAATTCGGATTAAAGCAGCTAAATCCGAATTAAAGTCGTAGTGTAGACCAGGCCTGAGGCTGACGATCTTCCCATTAAGGTGAGTTAGTAAGATTCTGTTATAGTGCAACAAGTTGGATTCAATGGGGCCTGATTCTGAATTTACATCACCCTAATCCACATGGGGGTAAGTAAAATCAGAATCAGGCCCCGGGTGCTTTTATTCACCTTAGCATTTTTTAAAACAATGTCTTCTGTGATACATAGAACAAATGTGGTGTTTGGTTTTTCCCCTGCACCAATCAAAAGGCTGGAATCACTATCAGCTATTCATGTGCTATAAGAGTTGAATTTCCTGTAATAGATACCTTGATCTGCTTTTGCAACTCTTACAGTTAAATGATACATGAATAAATACTGTACCAATATCAGCTCTCAGTAATCCAAAGAGTAAGTATCAGTCTACAGACTAAACACATTGCCCAATCTGAATTGAAAACTTACCTTGTAAGTATGCGTAGCTCCAGGATCAATCCGAAAAGCTTTTGTAAGTGGATTTGAGTTTATTATTAAAGGATATCCTGAAGCCACTTCAGAAGGTGATGGTGATAAAATAACACTAAACGTATAAACCAAAATATGAGCTGAAGAATTTTCTGTCACATTGCCTGTAGCAGGCAAGCCATTAAGTGACAGCGTTTTCCCCCCTGCAAATTTGAAAAGGAAAGTAAAATTACACTTCTGTTAAGCCGTCTCTGTGAATGTTAGCTGGGACACAGAGCACACACCTTCTGCCATGTGCTGTGAACACAAATGACCTGATATTCCTCTCATGCTGATATGAATTGTGATGTTACACAGCTGTCGAACCCATGCAAGTGAAAGGAGACTCAAACCATTTATTTTCTGTTTAAATGCTGTGGTCCTGCCACTGCAAGTTACTGATGTTAAGGCAGTATTGTTACTACAGGTTTCAGAGTAGCAGCCGTGTTAGTCTGTATCCGCAAAAATAACAGGAGTTGGTGAAAGGAGGGTGGGAGGAAGGAGGGGGGATGGTTAATTTCTCCTTGTTTTAAGATCCAAGGGGGTTTGGATCTGTGTTCACCAGGGAATTGGTGAAAGGTTTCTCAAGGCTTCCCAGGGAGGGAATTCTTGTGATGGTGGCAGCGGACCAAAGCTAAGCTGGTAGATAAGCTTAGAAGTTTTCTTCACCAACTCCTGCAACTGTTATGCATCCGAAGAAGTGGGTTGTAGCCCACGAAAGCTTATGCTCTAATAAATTTGTTAGTCTCTAAGGTGCCACAAGTACTCCTGTTATTTTTATTGTTACTACATTGCTTGTATTCATATGATAGCTAGAAATATATGTTTCCTATCAGTCACCACCCTCTGCTGCTGCCTGTCTGCACTGAATCACATTAAAAATAAAGTCAGACAAGCAAGTGTGAGTGACTAAAAGGTGTTTAGAATTCTTTTGTGAATTCTGTTCTCAAGAGGTGACACTCCCCTTCCCTTTCCAATATGTCTTGTCATAAATTAACAGAAGAGAAGGCAGGGCCAGTTCTTCAAGGTGCTGAGCAGCTCCAGAAAAGTTCAATGTAATCTCAACCCTCCAGCGTAGTTAGCACCTTGCAAGATACTGCTAATGCATTGCAATCCATTCAGGACCAGGACCTGGGCCAACATTAAAAAAAAAAACGTGTCTGTGATGCCATGCACCAGGTCATGATGCCAGTCACTCAGATTTTTTCGGGGGGAGGGAACGGGACATAGGGGCTTCTGGGCCAGGGGGGTCAGCCTGCTGGTGGCAGTTGAGGGCATCTAAGAGGGGAAGAGGAGGCTCAGGTGGGGGAGGAAGAAGAAATTTATGACTCCCCCCACTTTAAATAGTGCTCTGCAGCCCCTGAGTGAGTGTGTTCCAAGTCCCACTCTCTTCCCAATCCTCAGAGAATGTGACTCAATTGCAGCTCTTGGCTTGAGAATCTGGATCAAGCTGTGAGGCTCCTGCTTTTAGCTCTGGAGGTCCCTTGTTGGAACTAGCAGAGAACAGTGATTTAAAAGAGCTCCATGTGAGCCCCTTGTTAATGGAGCCAGGCTCTGGGCTCTCTAGGGATGTGTGCTTACAGCTGGGGTGCTTTTGTAACATATGTTCTAATACAGAATCTGACACTGACTGTATCTGAGACAGTACACTTCCTTTAAGCACGCCACAACTTATTAAGGAAAAGTATTTTTAAAGTCAGTGAAGATAAATGTATTTATAATGTTTTCTAGAGTGACAGATGAGAGATGGGTTCCTACATTTATATTAACCTCTTACAGTTTTCATGAGCTGAATAAGAAATGTTTATTCAGGCATAATTCTTTTAAATCAGGGTTAATTAGATTTTTCAGACCACATTGCAACAGAGTGTGACAGGTTACTATCTTCTTATTCATGATCCTACTCCCTCCTCATTCAGAAACCAATGAACCACCTGCTTTCCCATTTAGGAGCACAAAACATCCCTCTGACAATTACAGCAATTGCTCATCAAGAATAGTAGTATTAGGAAAGAATTTAATATATTATTAGCATTGCCAACCCCAAACATTGAGTTTGGGCCCACAAAAAATCACAAGACTAACTTAAAAATTATGAATTTCTTTTATATATATATATATATATATATATATATATATATATCGAGATCTCTTGCTTTGCCTTCTGATTTCTGAGCCTTTACGGTACACTCAAATTTTACTCTCTTGAAAGCTGAGATCCTCATGCAATCTACAGAGTAAAGCAGTTGGGACTTACAGGGGGAAAATATCATGAGACTTGTGAGAGTTGGCAACACTGTTTTTAAAACAATTTAGTGACTAGAAAAAAGGAGGAGAGCCAGCAATGTGTGACCAGCCAGCTCTCTGCAAGCACCAGCAAGTGCTTAATGGTCCACGGACAACAGTTTAAGAAACTTCTGCAGTAAGCAATCCATTCTTCTTTGCTGCTTGTTAGAATGTCTATTCTTTGTGTGTCTGTAATGCTTTCATGCTGAACCCAAATACTGATATAGCCAAGCTAACATGCCATGGTCTGGGTTTTGTGGGGAGGTTATTTGATTGGTTGCTTTTTAATTCACCAACTGTTAAAGTTACCACTAACATCAACCTAGAAAAAAAGTCTAAATTCTACTGGCCTGATTCTTATCGCTTTGCACCTGATACAGTCATTTACATCTGTGCAAAGTGGCTATAAAACACTACCAGTCTGATTTTTAGTGTAAATGAGTGTTTTAAAAGCTACCAGATCAGAAGAGGGTATAAAACATTACCATTTACACAAGGTTTAAGGTGGTGGAGAACTGGGCTCTATACATGTCTTTATGGCAAGGTCTTCTTAAAACTTGCTACAAGCATAGCTCAAGTTCATGTAATTTTAAAAACTCCTCCAATTTTTTTTTGTTTTTTTTTTTAAATTCAATTAACCCACAAATGAAATATGAACAAAGCCTGGAGCTGCCTAAAGTGAACTGACTTTGCTTCTTTGAAAATTCACCTGCTTTCCCCCCTCAATACTCTCACCTTGAACAGTGGACATTATTCTGGAGCGTGGCGGCATCCAGCATAATATTATTGTAATGTTATATACATCATCACAATGGGCTGAAATCTCCTGACAATTATACTGATGCATCTCCATGGCTCACTGCAGTTCAGTAACAAAACAGCTGTTCCTTGAATTCTTTTGTCAAAAGTTCTGATCTCAAAAATATAATTTAGGTCCCTTAAGAGAAACTATAACAGACAAGAATGATTTAAATTTAGCAGTTGAATAAAATTGTGTTCTTACCAGATATTCTTCCTAATAAAACCAAAAGAAGAAAAATATTCTGCCTTTTCCCTAGAATCCTGCCATCCATAGTCCTAGGATGTGAACTGAAGGAAGATCTGGGTCTTATTTGCCTCTGTCTGCTTCAGCTCCACCTAAATTTTTCTTCCTTGTCATGCTGTCCAGTAAGAAATCAAACAAAGGTTCTGCCGTATCTAAGGGAGTTTCTAAACACCATCAGCTTGTTTGCTGTTCAGTGGACTGCTCCTTGCTGACATACCATACAATATCCCTTAAACTGCAATCCTTTTAGAATGACAAAGAAGGGGGGGGGGGGAATAGCTAATACAATGCTGGCTTGATAATTCTGAGGAATGAGGTGCTCTCTCTCTAGAGACCAGGGACAATACTTGGTGCAGCATTGCATGTTTCCCGATGCTGACAGTGTGTTTCACACGTGTTCTGGGGTGTCAGAGTCATTTAGGACTTGTCTATACTAGAAGGGTTTTGCCACTCTAGTTATACTGGTATATCCATTCTCACAAAACCCTCTAGTGTGCACTCACTTGTATCAGTATTGCTTTTGAGAGCACAGGGCTCTTTCCTTGCCTCTGTTCTGCAATGGCATGAGCAGGTCCCCCTGTCCGCCTCCCCCCGAGCTCTGTGTCATAACTTTTGTCCTTTATTTTCTCTCTTTTATAAATATATACTTGAGCCTGTTTGGTTCTTCCTTTGTCTGAATGCCCACACAGATCCTGTTGCCAACAATAGATCAGTGCTCATGTGCACAGTTACATAAATCAGACTTCTCCTCACACATCAAACCTTTCATATTCTGTTACAAAGAAAAAATAAGAGTAACCTGGTTACACATCTTTCAATGAGACAATCTAGTCTTGTGGTCAGAGCACAGTATTGGGATTTGGGAGACCTGGGTTGGAATGGAATTTGGTATTTATATCTGCTTAAAATTTTAGGGCCTTCCCTCAGGCACAGCAGTGGATTAATGTCTCCTGGGGCCCTGGGCCAGAGCAACTGGGGAGGCCCTGGCACCAGAACCATGGTCCCGTCCCACCCTTCCACTTGCTGTCCTGCCCATGTCCCACCCCTTCTGCCTGCGGCCCCACCCAAAGCCACACCCCGTTCTACCCCTTCCCCTGCAGCCTCACCCCCATTCCTCCCATAGCCCTATCCCATTCCGCTCCTTCCCCCACAGTCCCACCCCCGCTCACTCCTTTCCACCAGTACACCACTGCAGCCCCAAGACCAGAGAAGCTCTGTGCCCCTGACATTGCTCTGGGGCCATGGCGAGGAGTGAGAGCTCCTCCAGCCCTGGGGCCATGGCAAGGGGAGATTTTTTTCCAAGGGCCCCAAATTGACCAGGGCCCGTGGGCACGGGCCCTGTAGGCCCATGCGGTAATCTGCTACTGCTCAGATAGGCCTCTCCTCAGTGCAAAAGCCTATTATTTGAATGCTTTGTGAAAAACAAACCCTTGGGTGGTTGGTATTTGTTTGCTCTTTCAATATGTTTCCAGGGTTGTCATTTTGTCACTGACAAGCCTCCTGGGACAAGTGTGTTTGAGCAGAGAACGTGAGTGTGTAGAGGGAGATAGTTTAGTGAGCAGGGAAAGGAAAGGAGTGCAAGTACTGGGCACAGTGTGGGACTGTGTGCAGAGAGGCGAGCGATGGATGGACAAAAGAAGAGGTCAAACAGGAGGAACATATGCAGGAGGAAATGAGTGAAGGGGATGAAAGGAGGAGGTGTTGCCTTATATATAAAAAATGTATACACTAGACTGAGGTTGAGATGGAAATAGGAGACAGACTTGTTGAAAGTCTCTGGGTAAGGATAAAAGGGGCAAAAACAAGGGTGATGTCATGGTAGGGGTCTACTACAGACCACCTATCAGGAAGAAGTGGTGGATGAGGCTTTTTATGAAAAACTAAAAAAAATATCCAAAGCACGGGACTTAGTGGTTATGGAGGACCTCAACTACCCAGACATCTGTTGGGAAAATAACACAGCAGGGCTCAGATTATCCAATAAGTCCTTGGAATGTATTGGAGACCATTATTTATTTCAGAAGGTGGAGAAAGCTACTAGGGGAGAGGCTGTTCTAGATTTGATTTTACAAATAGGGAGGAACTGGTTGAGAATTCGAAAGTGGAAGGCAGTTTGGGTGAAAGTGATCATGAAAAAATAGAGTTCATGATTCTAAGGAATGATAGAGGGAAAACAGCACAATAAAGATAATGGATTTCAAGAAAGCAGACTTTAGAAAACTCAGGGAGTTGGTAGGTAAGATCCCATGGGAAGCAAATCTAAGGGGAAAAGCAGTTCAAAAGAGTTGGCAGTTTTTCAAAGAGACATTATTAAGGGCACAAAAGCAAACTATCCCACTGCACAGGAAAGATAGGGAGTATGGCAAGAAACCACCCTGGCTTAACCAGGAGATCTTCAATGATCTGAAACTCAAAAAAGAGTCCTACAAAAAATGGAAAATAGGTCAAATTACAAAGAATTAATATAAACAAATAACCCAAGTATATAGGGACAAAATTAGAAAGGCCAAGGCACAAAATGAGATTAAACTAGCTAGAGACATAAAGGGTAACAAGAAAACATTCTATAAATACATTAGAAGCAAGAGGAATACCAAGGACAGGGAGATTGTGTGCTGGCTGCTGGGGAAGTCTCTGAGAGACCGTGCGCTGTCTCTTTAAGGCACGCACTCACCTGAAGGCTTGTTCAGACCTCACCTCAGAGCTGCTGCGAGTCCTGAGTCCTGTCCCCTCTACCCTGCTCTGTGGAGATGGAGTACAAGAGAGGGGCACACCCTGACATCAGCACCCTCCTTCCTCCCACCCCACCCCCCACTCTGCACAGCCAGCAGGAGGGTCCCAGAGCAGTTACAGGAGCAACATGGCTGCAAAGCATCAGGGGCAGTCAGGAGGGGCACCTGAACACACGCTGCCGGCTGGGTGTGCATGGCTCTGATAATCAACTGCACAGCACTTGAATCTCTGCTGGGCGGCCACCCAACTGCGCAGCTTACAGGGAACACAACTCACTAGTGGTGAGTCAAGCAAGACAAATACCTCCCATGTCTTACATACAACATTCCTGTTAATGCACCCCAGAACACTTGCCTTTTTTGAAGCTGCATTACATAGTTGACTCATATGCCATTTTTGACCCACTATAACTCCCACATCCTTTTCAGCAATCCTACCACCTAGACACATATTCCCCTTTTTGTAGTTGTGCATTTAATTTTTCCTTCCTAAGTGAAGTACTTTGCACTTGTCTTTATTGAATTTCATCCTGCTGCTCTTCAGGCATTGCAATGACACTCTCTGAGTCAGTTTACTTTTCTGTTTCTAAGACTACTCTAGGGAAGAGGACATTTTGTACTTGCTGTGATAATTGTCCGTTGAAATTTAGGTAGCCACGGCTCCTAAATAAGTGAGAGACTTTTGCAAACTTGATTCATAGCCATCAGGGAATATTTATTATTGTTATTACAATGACAGTTTTGGTAACTTACTTAATCAGTTTTTATCTTCATCTCCCTCCTCTTAAAAACTGTAATAGTTTTCTATTAGATGCCTTGATAATTTTTTTCCTAAAACATTAAAACAGTACTCTGACAGCCAGCACCAAGAGCTCACACAAAATTTTCATTTGATTCTCATCTAGCTGAAAATTTCTCCTTGTATCTGCTCTAAATAATATGTAAATTAAGATTGTGTCTCACATAGTGTGTCTGATGTCAATGAAATCTAACTAGGTGTTTCATATGAATCCAAATAAATATAGATACAGCTGGCTTCATTCCTTTCATATGAAAAAGAGAGAGAGAGCTGCATAAAGGATTTCAAAATGATTCTGCATCCCTTCTTTTCCTCCTGCTTCGTCCTCCCTCTGCATCCCCTCTCACAATTTTAATTAAAAGTATGGACTGGTTGTATTGATTTTATTATGTGGAAGGGAACAGCCCAAGCAAACAGGTTCCCAGGGGTGCTGTGTGATGGAGTGTATAGACCCCACACAGATGAGGGAGGTGCCAGAGTGCCCCTGAAGATAGGGATAGCCCCCCATATCTCCGGTCCTGTCGATCATTCATGATAGGGAGGAGGCCTTTAAAAGGGAAGAAATCCTGTGAGGTGGGGGAGGAGTCAGATTGCCCTAAGCAGCAGACTTCAGGAATGACTCCTGAAACTGCAGCAGGAATGCCTAGCCGGGAGACCTTGATCCCGCCCCTGAGGGGCATACAATGGACTCCCAGGGTAAGGCGAACAGGCTGAGCCTGACTCAGAAGCCCAGCCAGAGCAATTTCCACAAAACCCACTACATTGGTGCTGGATCGCTGGCAGCACTGTAGACTCACAGCCATTCAGAGAGGTCAAGTGACTCACCCAAGGCCACACAGCAAGTCAGCAGCATACCTGGAGCTCTTAGCTCCCAGCCCCAAGCTCATACCGGGAAAAATGCTCCTTCTAAAACACCATGCATGTCAGGGGCACATCACTGAGAAATATGTTTCAGGAGGAGTTTCTGTGCTGGTTTCAGATTTTTTTTTAACTGTTTTAATGAAACATAAATTTCAAAATTAATCCACCTTAACTAGAACAGATGTGGCAACAATGACTTGGTGATTTGTGGCTCCTGATCTTCAAAAAGTATATAAAGATTTTTTTAAAGATACAGATCCTGTAGTGCACAATAAAAATATTTGAACATACACTGTGCGTTCAGCATCTATATGGAATTCCCACTGATGACCATATCAGTCATGAGTGTGACTTGATATGTGACTGTTTGATTTGTCTTAAAATCTAAAGGCAACAAAAGGCCTGGTCCAAAACACACTGAAGTCAATTGAAGTCTTTCCACTAAATCCCGTGGCCATTAAATCAGGGTTAAATTGGAAAGAGTCCAGCGGAGGGCAACAAAAATGATTAGGGGGCTGGAGCACATGATTTATGAGGAGAGGCTGTGGGAACTGAGATTATTTAGTCTGTAGAGAAGAGAAGAATGAGGGGGGATTTGATAGCTGCTTTCAACTACCTGAAAGGGGGTTCCAAAGAGGATGGATCTAGACTGTTCTCAGTGGTACCAGGTGACAGAACAAG